TCCCAGCAGCGTTATCGTGCAGCCGATCCCGTTCATGACAGAGATTGGATTCCGGAACACAAACCACGACACCGCAATTGCCACCGCAACCTGCAAAGATAGTAGTAGAAATGGAGAGGTTAGAACGCAGCTCGAGACAGCTGACGAGCCAACGACCGGAGCTTTCTCTCTTTCTTTTTGAATTGAAATGTCTATAGCATACCTTTAAGTTGCCGGCGACATTGAATGTTAAAGCTGTCGTGGACTGGATCACGTAGAAAATAGAGAAGTTGAGACAAAAGGCCACAACGCCAGAGCCGACGAGGACGAGAAGCGGCATGCCGAGAGACTCCTGCTCCTGGATCCATCTTAGAACGCCGCCGCCTTCTACGAACGGTGCCACCAGACAAAGAACTGCTGCGGCGTTTGGAGCCATGTAGTAGACAGTGTTGATGCTGTGCAAAACCAAAACAGAGAAAAGAAGGCATCAGCTACAAACTTAAAACTCCGACGACGTTTCAACAATACCTGTCGAAGTTGAAGCCGTGTAGAAGCCTTTCTGCTAGGATTGTCTTCGTGGACGTAACCAGGCAGCCGAAGAAGGCAGCGAAGAAGCCAATTGTGTTGAAGCTAAGCTCCGTGAGCGAGGCCAGTAATATGCCACCCACAACAGGCAGCAGCGAGAGCCAGACTTTTCGATCGAACACCTTCCCCCAGACCAGCCACTGCAAGATCACTAATCCAAGTCCAGGTACAAGTAAACAAACGGAAAAAAAAAACCAGAAAACTTACGAGTTGTGGCTGGAGTGAGGGACTTGACCGTCTGCATGAAGGAAACCGGGATGTATTTCAGGCTCACATTACCCAGCACGATGTTGAGACAAAAGACAAGTGACATAGGGAGTATCCTCTGAGCGCGATCTACAGAATTTACATGGATCAGAGGTTTCAATCTCAACAAGCTTATACTGATGAAGGCTCCTACTGAAGAAACAACCAGGTGAATGATTGTTACTGTTAGAGGGAACTTAAACTCGAGAATCTGTCAAGCGGCATGCAAAGTCAGTGGAAGTACACTTTTTTTCTTGTCTCTCGTATTTGTTCTTGACTCTCTCTGTGTCTATCTCTTTCACAAGCCAAACTTACCTGAAAGATCCACTTATTTGAGACCACCGTCATAACGTTGAAACACCACCACAGAAGTATAGCACCAACACCCATGCTCAAGCTCCTCTTGCCTTCCATCTTGGAGCTCCTAGTCCCTCCTTTATCCTGCACAGCAAGAGCAAAGGCATTAGAAAACCACTTCCTTCTCTCCAAACTTTTCTTTTGCTACACTTCTGACGGAGCCCATCTTTCCAATTCAGAGAAACGCTTCACAGATCTGCACCTGGAGCGAGCCAGCCGTTTTGCTCATCTCTCCTTGCGATAGCCCAAGCGAGCAACACTTTGCTCCACACAGCCGAAACAAGAAATGGTATACCTAGAAAAAGGAAAGGAAGAAAATGTTTGTACCTTGAAGCGGGACCGAAATGCTGGAAGGATCGACCTTCCCGATCTTCCTGTAAGCTTGAAAAGTGAGTGATACAAGGAAGAAGCGAGAGAGAAGTAAAGAGAAAAGGTCTCGTACAACAATAGGAAATACATGACAACCCACCAGAAGCTTACATCACTTTTATAGTCACACTCTCTTGCTTACTCGCTAAGGAGCAATGAACAGCTTTTTAGCTCGCTCACAGTTCGTTCTTTATTCTCGCTGCTAGTACCTATGGAGAAAAATATAAAAACCCGTTATCATCATCTAAAGCCGAGAGAAGAATAGCAGACTACCACCACCATCGCATTGGCGCTTCTCCGCTTCTTTGCGCAGCGTGTGCGAATGCCAGCCTTCGCTTCGGTCACTCACAGCTTGTGATAGTTCTTCTCGATTTTCTCAATCTGTACCAGGCGCTTCAAAAATTGCTGAACCTGCGAGCCCGCCAAGCTCAGCTTTTGAGAACCTTCCTTCCTCGGAAGTTGGATGTGATAGATCAACGTACCTCAGATGTGTCCCGTAACGAGTAAGTCGCTCCTGTTGTTTTTGGAACGTTGGAAACTAGGATCCCGTAGCCATTAAACTTGTTATTTAGTATCTGCACATGCGCTGGAGTTTTAGACTGGAAAACCATGAGCTTGTACTTACCTCAAACGCATCTTCGTCCGTTCGATCATCCCCAATATAGACCGGCAGAACATCTCGGCTGTCGCCTAGGCCTTCAACCAAAGAAGTTTAAAGATCGCACCTTCAACAAAAAAATAGCAAACACTTACCAAGAGCTTCTAGAAGATATTCGACTGCTTTTCCTTTGTCCCATTTTATGGATGGACGGATTTCGAGTACCTAAAAGTTTGAAACCAAGTCACGCAATGTCTAAAACAAAAAAGATAGACAAAATCACACGCGGCACAAACCTTTCGGCCGTGCGTTATGGATAATTCAGGATATCTCTTCAAAACGCTCTGAACTTCCTGAGCTAGAAATTGCCAATCCTGTAACGGCTTCCGGTTGTAGACAAAAGAAAAAGACAAGACAACTCCCACCTGTTCTCTGACTTGGCGGAAATGTACGCTAAGACAAAACTTGTTGTCCTCAACGCGGGCTCCCTCAATGAAACTCATCTGCCTTTCCAAAATGTCGAAAACCTCCCTCATTGTGGTAAGAAATCTACTGGCCGGCTGAAAGAAAACCACGTCTTCTCCCTGCACAGTTTTACGTGAAAATACTGGCACACGGAAAAATATCAAACCTCTTGATTTTTTGTCAGTGTTCCAGAAACAGTGACACCATGAGAACCTTTGGCAGGTCCCATAATATCCATCCCGTGGCTGCCTGCGTAGTAAAGTTCTGGCAGCTGAACAAATTCATACACCTGTAACATCAAAATCAGAAGATTAGGAGTTGCAAATATATATATGATTCACCTTCTCTCTGGATCTTCCAGTAATTATCGATGTCGGGTACAGCTTAGCCACGCTCTTCACTGCCGATCGCATCTGAAACCGAAGAATTACTTCACAACCAGGAAGCAAAACACATGTATTTTATTTTACCTCCGTTGACATGAATGCCCGCGCAGGATCTTCAACAATGGGTGACAAAGTTCCATCGTAATCGAGGAACAACGCAAGTTGCCTTCCTTTCAGAGCATCGACAATTTCTTCGAATGAGTCCAAAGCCGATGGATGTTCCACCTGCGCAATCAGATTCGAAGTAGTACCTTGCAAATCATAAACAGAACAGAGCACTCAGCACTCACGACCCAGTCCAAGTAGTCAGGATTTCCAGGAAGTCGATGCCCCTCCTTAAGCGCGTCTATGTGAGCCTCTTCCTTAGAACGTGGAGGCGAGCTAGCTCTCATGACAGTAAGGCAGCCGTTGACAGAATCGCTTTGCACAGAAGTTTTCTTCCAGGCTGCAGAAAAATGAGCAAACAAAGGGCCCGATGGAGGTGAACATTTCGATGGGAAAGTTGCAGCTTCTGTGAAGAGAATTGCCTGCTCGGAACTCAAAGGCATGGCTGCAAGCGGCAGTCAAGCTGTACGAAGGATCCCCTGCGACCTTAGATACTTCGTGCAGCTTGTTTCCTAGGAGGAAGAACAGAGAACTGGTTCAAAACCAAAGCAATTTATCGCCACCACACAGCAACAAACAAGACTTGTCGAAATAATGGACTACAATGTAGGAGCGAAAGCTACACTGCCAAAGTGGACCAGTAGACAGGCAACAGCGCAACTAGGAAAAAAACCGAAGATAATAAAATTTACCTCCTGCTTGAGATACGACGATCCTTTAATACTGTACTATCTTTGATACGTAACTATAGCTTAAAAGTCTGAAGTATGATCCAAACAAAATTGCACTTCCGAATCTGCGATGACAACATGAGCTCCCCGTAAGCAACAACAATAATGCACGCTACGAATCACTTAAAAACTCCCAGACGCAGACGCGGGAGCTAGAACAAAAGAAAAGAAAGAAAAAGAGTTGCCACAGTTCCATAACTCACATAAAAACAGGACCAAGTCGACGTAGCGTATATATGCCAAGAAATCCACACACACAGACAGTAAAAATTTAGGGATCCCATCACACAGGGAGGGAAATGCAGCTGGCTCTCACCAGAAATTCAAGCAGCCAGCCAAACTCTGGAAAAGCGAGAGACGAAAAGAAAGAACGCCCATCCTAGTCGAGGACAATGACAATGAATGCCGACCAGACCTGACCTGACCTCACCCCGCCTTGCCTGCTCTGGCCCGCGCGTCCAACAAATCCTGGAAATATCAGCCTGGCGCCAGGATCAAGTCACGCAATTCGAGCAATTCGTGGCCAGATCGACGAAATCTTTCACGAAGGACGAAGAACCCTAGAAATCCTCGCCCGAGGGAGGCGGAGGCGGAGGACTCCGAGAATGCCAAAGAGAAGAAAGAGGGGGAAAACCAAACGAAATACTATATTTATAAGCAAAGGGAATTGAAGCACGTGGCACAACGTGAGTCGTTAATCCGTTGGCGGCCGATGGCCTCCATTCCCTCTCACACTCGTGCGCGCTTTACACTGTTGGATTAAGACAAATCCGACGGCTGGCCGATGCACTTTTGCCAGTTAGGCGGATATTCTGTCTCCAAGTGGCACCTTTTAAACCTTGCGTCGGGCATATTATATATAGCCACGTGGGCCCAAGCGCAATATTCTTTACAGATTATTAGAAAGAACGCGAGTGGAGTTGGCACAATGTGAATGGGCCAGATAATCAATAGAAAATTCCTAATTATTGGCGGGAATAGAAGCATCGCATTGTAGAAGAATCATAGCGATTTTAATAATCCAAAGAATCAGGTAAAGGACCAAAGAAAAAAACAGTGAAGATTCTTGGGATATCTTGACCTTCCGTGTCGTTTGGTATTTCGTACGGGGAGGCTACCTTTAAACTTGTTAAGTCAAAATGTTTAATAGAAGTGGTATAATAGAATATTCCCTTCATTGTATTTTCGTGAGAACTTGGCTAGGGTTTAAGCGCGTCGCCTAGGTCGCGGAGGAAGGGATGAGCTGATCCAATGCGTCTCCAGGTAACGATAGCGCGCTTTGTGTAAGCTCGATTTGCTCTCGCGCAGGGATTTCTTTCCGAGATGATCGTCTCAGGCCGGGCTTCTCATCGAATCTCTAAAAGAAGCCTCTACGCTGGATTATGGAAGTCCTTCGCTCGCATCAATGAGGTATTTTGATAGGTTTGAAACTTACATTGCCTTGCGATCGTTTCTCTTTTCTCTCTTTTCTAGAACGAGTCGCGAAGGTGTTTCTCGAGTCCTGCAAAGGCTCCAACACCGGATGAGGCCGGGCAGCAAAAATCCGAGGCTACGAATAAAGCTACTCCCGCTGGATCGCCGAAAGTCCAGCCAGCAGCTGGAGCGCCGCCAAAGACCTCGAATCCACAACAGGCTGTGCAAAAGCCTCCAGTAAAGCCCGCTCAAGTTCCAGTCGCCGGCGCAGCAAAGCCTATCGTTTCTGCTTTCAAACCTCAGGTAGCTCAAGCTGCTGGATCTGCTAGCCAGAAACCACAAGCTCCACCTTCCACCGTCCACAAAACTCAAGCTTCTCCTCCTCCACCAGGTCAGAAAGCTCAGGTTTCTCCAGGTGGTGGTGTGAAGACGGTGCCTCCTCCAGTGACCAGAACTGTTCCTCCAGCCGGACAGAAAGTATCTCAAGCAACTTCTAGCGTGAGTCAGAAACCAAGTACGTGGAAGGTGTTAATGGCCTCCGGGGCTGTCGGAAGCGTGGTGCTGGGATTGTTCTACTGGCAGTTCCCCAGAATTCACGACGGATCGACAGATGCTGGAGATAAAGGGAAGGATGCCGGTGATGCTGGCTTTCTTCCTGATCAGCAGAACGCGGATGAGAAGTCAGCTGCGGAGGTTGGGAGTTCCGTGGCAACTGATTCTGGTGATACAGAGAAGAAAGAAGAAGAAGCTGTTGTGAACGTCGTGGTGGAGCCTGATAGCATCACAGTGGAAACTGTGCCGGTGGAGTCATTAGCTTCTGATCACGCTGAAAAGGACGAAACCGAGACTGGGAAAAGTAATGAGGTAGTAGAAGTTATCGAGGCAGAGGTCCCCTCGGAAGAAATCGTCGTGGAGATCGAACCAGATTCGCATGAAGATGTTTCTATTATCGTCAGCAAATCGGAGGATGAAGAAGCTCAGATAACTGTATCTGACGATAATCTGGTATACTTTCTTTCCATTTCTACCTCGTTTGTTTCTAATCTTTCTGCATATAGGTAGTGAAAATAAGAGAAGGAAATGCAGATATCTCAGAACCTGTTTTGATTCAGCGCGGCCACGAAGATCTTGTTCAAAGGCACGACAAGGGAAACCTGGTGGCATCTGATGACAGTGCTACCCCGAAAAGCACTGGATTGGATGTTGTCGCTGCCATTCATGCAGCCGAACAAAGGCAAGCAGAGATTGATGCAATGGTTTTCAAGGAACAGCTACAATTTCTTCAGGTTTTAGTTCTTTTGGAAGCGTGTTGATGCCTGAATGTTTGTTCAGGAGAAGTTCCAACATGAGTTGACAGATGCAGAACGGAAGGCCTCGTCGTACCAAGAACAGATCAGACGCCTTCGGGAGGTACGTGGTTCTTGAACAATTTCCAATGGATGGATGAAATATCGTTTATATTTATTATAGGGCATGGAGAACCAGAAGCTCACTCATGTCAGCCATCTGAAGAAGCAACAAGAGGAAGCTGAGTCTAGATTTCAAGAAAAAATGAAACTAAAGGTGATGATTTTGTTCTTGTATGGGTAGTCATCCATATTTTTTCAGGACGAAGAAACTCAACGGCAGTTGGAGGAAGCTGAGCTTCGTGCGAAGGCGGAATCGGCTGCTGCAATAATAGAAGAACGGACATCCTTTTTGAACGACATTGGTAGTGTTAAAGTGCATGTCCGTAAGAAAGTGTTGTAACTTTATTCTTTCTTGGCTGCTGAAACACGTCTTTTGTAGATGGAGGCTATGAACGCTGCCTTGGAAGCGAAATCGGAAGAAGCCCGTGAGGGCCACGAGATAAAGCAGCTTTCTTTGGTAATGTCCACAGCTTTCTTGGACGTGATCACTTACATTATCATTGTCAGGGGGCTTTCGCTTTGGAGGACGCCTTGCAAAACGGAGCACCCATTGAGAAAGAGGTCACGTCACTTCTAAAATCGGCCGGTGGCGACCCGCTGGTGGAAGTTGCAGTGATGACACTGCCAAAAGAGGTATTGGAAGTGGGAACCTTGACCCCCGCAGAGCTGGACAGAAAGGTAATATTCTTTTTTCTCTTTTCCTTTGGGATAAGTCTTATACCTTGCAGCTGAAAGACATGGAGGGAGCATTGAGGGAACTTGCGTTGATGCCCCCCACTGGCGGGGGAGTCTTGTGCCACTTAATCGCTCGTCTCGCTTCGGCCCTCAAGGTTGCATCTATGAGATCAAACCACTGCTATTGTGACTTACAAGCTCGTGTACGCAGTTGCCTGATCACGCTTTGTATCTCGACTCTGGAGTGGACGCCGTCCTCGCTCGAGTCCAGGCCTTCGTGGCGAGCGGCAAGCTTCTCGACGCAGCCGAGGTCCTGTCGCTGGGCTTGTCTGGAACAAACGCCGATAAGCTTGCCGGGGAATGGGCCACTCAGGCCCGAAACAGAGCCGTCGCGGAACAGGCCTGCGCACTGCTGAGAGCTCACGCAGCGGCACTGGCACTGAGTGAGAGCGAGCAAGCAAGCTAGAGGTATAAACAACTCTTTTCTATATCAAAAAACATCGAAACGCGATTTTTTCAGATAGAAGACGCCATTGTGTGCTTCCTCTTTAGAGGCACAGGCAAGCGATTGACAAAGAAGATGAGATAGGTGACGAGGAGCAAGAGAAGTAGAGCAGCGATGAGAGCCAGCGAGATTCTATTCCTCTTGACGGCTTTTCCATAATGCTTTGGCCTTGGCGGCGGCTGTGCTGCATCCGAGGAAGAAGGGAAAACGATGCGAACTTCGTCTGACGATGCGCTCTTGTTCACTAAACACCACTCGTCCATGGCTGCCCTAATAAAGCCGCTCGCCACCTTTTTTATACGGCCAACAAATAGCCATTGTCATATATGGAAAGCATTCCGGCCACCTTTAATAAGAATATCTTTAAGATAATGCCCAATGATGGCATCAAGCTTAAAAGCTGCCTCTGCAAGCCTCGTTTCAATCTCATTTGGCTAGGGTATACATTTCTTTTCTCTGCAACATCAATGGCACAATCCAAGCTGTTTCTTGCGCTTTTGGTAATGGCAACGAGTTTGTTGTGGTAGAGAATTCCATTTGCCCGATATACATTGGACCAAGTGAATTATGTGTTCTTGGCTGCTTCTACACTTTCTACATTTGCTTTGCTACACTAGGCACTGTTCGGGGCTCAGTTTCTTCATGTTACTGTTAAGCATGTCCCATCAAAGCTAGAAGCCACCTGACATGTGTGTGATATATTGAATAATTAGTGTTCCATTTCATAAGAATCCATATTCCAATATAACAAGAAGAAGAAATAAGGCACACGAAAAAAGCTATATATATTGTTTGCATGGTTTTGCAAAGCATGAAATTGGAAAGATATTTCTTGGATGATTGTTATTACAATGCCCACACTGTTGTCTTCATCTTTTGCACCATCCTCATCCTCAAGAAAAAACTCATGAAAGCTTTATATTAACAAGGCCTCACCAAGCTCAAAAAAAGTCAAATGGAAAGTCAATAAGTCAAATAAAGTATTCAAAGACTGTTTGGCTACTAATTTTGATCTATAAGTTTTATATTTAGATTTAGTTTGACTAAGAAGCATTTTTATACAGCCAACAAATAGCTATTTTCATATTCATATAATTTTATTTCACTGTGCCACTTTTAAAATATTCTTTAGTGACTCAATTGATGATAGTGTTCATGGTGTGTGGTGTAACTCTTTTGTTCTTGTTGTTAATATTTGTGTTTGGCTAGATTTCTTTTGTGAGAATCTCAGAGATAGTATGTGCCATTGGATTGATCACTTTATAGTGATTGCCATCTATCATTTTTGAAATGATATGTAAAATTTGTGAGAGTTTACAAAGGATAGTGTTGCAGTATAATTTGAGCATAATCATTTGCTTGGATTGGAGTTTTCTTCTAGATGTTTTCAAGCATGCATTTCAACATATTGATTAATATGACAATGCATTTTAACAATTACATTATTTTTGTTAAGGGCTCTTTAAGTCATGGTATTTGCTTTTGGAGGCTCTTACTTTGTACAAAATTAAATATATTGGAATGGATTAAGTAGGACTCTTTATTTATGTATTTTTTATGAAAGTTTGCAAGTTAATTCTAATAAACTTGTGGTTATTTTGACATCCCATATTCCAAAGTGTGTGAATAATATGCAACACAAAGTGCAATATTTCAATTGTCTTATTGATCATCTTTTTTATCATACTACACCATTACGAGTATTGTTGAAGTTATTAACACTATTTTTCATTTGGTCTCAAGATGTAAGCAAACATTTGTGAATTTCAAAGAATTATTAATGACTCCTTTAGTTTTAACGTATCATAACTAAACTTAATCTTTCATTTTGCACATAGATGTTTTTGATATTAGTTTTAAGGGTATATTGATGCAAGAGACTATAAGTGTACTTGTTCAGTATCATCTTGTTGTATATCAATCATTATTATAATAAGTAAAGATGAACCACTCTATAACATAGAAGGAATGTTTAACAATAGTTTAGGGTTTTGATGTAAATTTGCATGATTATACTGTTATTATTTCATTATTGAAGTGAAAGAACTTAATTAGTTGTATTATTTGGTGAGCTCTGAAGCTAAAGATATATAATTTTGAGATTGTTCATCACCTAGAGAGTTTTATAATTATTATTAATGCCCTTTCTTGAATTCCTTTTCCTTCTTCTTTCTCTTCTCATGTTCTTAATAAATCTATTGTTTCAGTATTACTGAATTTTCTAAACAAGGATTTTATGTTGATGGTACTTAATATTCAGTATCCACAAAGTGCAAAGCAAATTTTACTTTATTTTGATGAGGTTTATGAAGCTTATAAAGTCAAGCCATGGACTTGAAGGTTTTATAATTGATTTAAAAATTTTGCATCATTTTCTAATAATTTATCATTTTGGCATTTACATTCTTTTAAGGATGACCCTTATTTTTTAAAGATTAATTTAAATAATTATTTATGATTGGTGGTGCCTTCAATCTTTATTCCACACTTTCTTCACATTTACTATGACTCTCTAATTCTAGGCAAGCACATGGGATATTGTTGTGTGACCAAGAAGCTACATAAGTTTTTCTATTGGCAAAAAATATGGCATATTATCCAATATAATTGCATTTTGTGCAAATGTTATAATACTTCCCTTGTGCTGTAGAAGAACAGTTTGAGTTAATTGCAATTTCTCATTTGTTTGGGTTTGTGGCATTTAATCTTATATAGCCTTTTCCATGGTTGATTGTTAACAATGAATATATCATTATTACCTTTATCATGGATTATTTAAATTAAGGGATGATTTATGTAAAGCACTATTATGTACTTAAAAGGAAAATGGAAGTTTTGTAAATGAAGAACCATCACTATTATTTACTGTGAATTGTTGATATCAGTGGACCTTTTAACCACCGAAAGTAAATGTTTAGAATATCAGCTTACAAGTTTCTGTCGTCCTTCTAACTCTTGTGCTTCTGGGACCATCTCCATAAAAACAAATTCATGTGTGTATCGGCAACAAAAAGCAGCCAGCCAGCTGGCTGAAATCAACGTTTCTGTCGTTGCTGCAAGCTTCGAGCATAAAAGCCTACGCAATCCTCTGCTCAATCTCGCTGGGCTCGCATATATATTTCTTATTTGCACAATTCTACACTTGTTGCTGCTGCTGGAAGTTGCGTTGAGGAGCGCAGCGCGCTTGTTGGAGCTGGCTGCGATGGATGCCACTGTACCGAATGCGTTTGCCCGGTAGGAGTTTGGACCAGGATGCACTCCCGCGTGCCACTGCACTTCTTGCGTTTGCCCTGCCTCGCCGCTAGCTCAGGAACTGCTCGGGGCTCAGTTTCTTCGTGTTTCCGTTAAACATGCCTAATCTCTCATAGCTCATGGGAGAAGCCGCCTGATGTGTGTGTACTTGTATCGAATATAATATGTTGCCACTGCATCGAATAATATGTGTTGCCATTTCATAGAAGAAGAGAAAGAACTCCAAACAATTCAGTGAAGGCCCCACAATGCAATAGAGTGAACATATATTGTCTGTTATTTTTAACTCTTGGAAATCCCAAAACAAAACATTACAACAAAAAAGCCTATCAAAGTCTCTCGCGAGCTATACATCTCAATACACCTCATGTACACTTCTAGTCAACTTCCTCGATCTTGGGCCCCGGGCCATCGGATCCGCCCGAGCCTCCTCCAAACCCAGCGCCGCCGCCTGGAGCGGCGCCACCAGCAGCAGCACCACCACCACCCTGGTACATTCTCGCGATCACCGGGTTGCAGATCCCCTCGAGCTCCTTCTGCTTGTCCTCGAGCTCCTCCACCTCCGCCAGCTGATTCGCATCCAGCCACTCGATCGTCTTGTTGATCGCCTCCTCGATCTTCTTCTTGTCCGCGGGATCCAGCTTCCCGGCCACATTGTCGTCCCGGATCGTGTTCCTCATGTTGTACGCATAGTTCTCCAGCGCGTTCCTGGCGTCGATCTTCTTCCTCGCCTCATCGTCCTCCGCCTTGAACTTCTCCGCCTCCTGGACGAGCTTGCTGATCTCCTCCTTGCTCAGCCGCCCCTTGTCATTCGTGATGACGATCTTGTTCTTCTTGCCGGTCGTCTTGTCCTCCGCCGAGACGTTGAGGATACCATTGGCGTCCATGTCGAACGCCACCGTGATCTGCGGGACACCCCTCGGAGCCGGAGGAATGCCGGAGAGCTCGAACTTCCCCAGGAGATTGTTGTCTCGGGTCCGAGCACGCTCGCCCTCGAACACCTGGATCAAGACGCCCGGCTGGTTGTCCGAGTACGTCGAGAAGATCTGCTCCTTCCTAGCCGGAATGGTGGTGTTCCGCGGGATGAGCGTCGTCATGACTCCTCCGGCCGTCTCCAGTCCCAGCGAGAGCGGAGCTACGTCGAGGAGCACCACCTCTTGCACCTTCTCGTGCTCCACGCCGCTGAGGATCGCCGCCTGGACCGCCGCGCCATACGCCACCGCCTCGTCCGGGTTGATGCTCTTGCACAGGTCCTTGCCATTGAAGAAGTCCTGGAGTAGCTGCTGGACTTTGGGGATCCGGGTGGAGCCGCCGACGAGAACCACGTCATGGATGGATCCCTTGTCCATCTTCGAGTCCTTGAGGCACTTCTCCACTGGCTCCATGCACTTGCGGAACAAATCCATGCACAGCTCCTCGAACCTGGCCCGGGTGATGCTCGCGTTGAAGTCGATCCCCTCGTACAGCGACTCGACGTTGATCGTCGTCTGGGACGTGGACGAGAGCGTCCGCTTGGCTCGCTCGCAGGCCGTCCTCAATCGCCGCAGCGCTCTGGCGTTGTCACTGATGTCCTTGCGGTACTTCCGCTTGAACTCCTGCGCGAAGAAGTTCACCATCCTGTTGTCGAAGTCCTCGCCACCCAAGTGCGTGTCTCCGGCCGTGGCCTTGACCTCGAACACCCCCTGGTCGATCGTGAGGATCGAGACATCGAAAGTTCCACCGCCCAGGTCGAAGATCAAGATGTTCTTCTCGCCGGTGCTCGACGACTTCTTGTCCAGGCCGTAGGCGATGGCCGCCGCGGTGGGCTCGTTGATGATCCTCAGCACATTCAAACCCGCGATCACTCCAGCGTCCTTGGTAGCCTGGCGCTGCGAGTCATTGAAATAGGCAGGCACCGTCACCACCGCGTCCTTGACGCTCTTGCCCACGAAAACCTCCGCGATCTCCTTCATCTTGGTGAGAACCATGGAGGAGATCTCCTCGGCCGAGAATTGCTTCTGCTCGTTCTTGTAAGTCACCACGATCATGGGCTTGTCGCTCGGCCCCGCGATCACCTTGAAGGGCCACAGCTTCATGTCCGCCTGGACGGATGGATCGCTGAATTTCCTGCCGATGAGCCGCTTGGCATCGAAGACGGTGTTGGAGGGATTGAGCGCGACCTGGTTCTTGGCGGCGTCGCCGATGAGCCGCTCCGTGTCCGTGAAGGCGACATAGCTGGGCGTCGTCCGGTTGCCCTGATCGTTGGCGATGATCTCCACTCGATCGTGCTGCCAAACCCCGACGCACGAGTACGTCGTGCCCAGATCGATCCCGACTGCTGGCGCTGTCGACGACATTGCGATCTTCGCGCTGCTCACTCGATTTCTAGAGAATCTAGCTAAGAATTTCTCTCTTTCCACTCACCGATCGATCGAAATCTTCTTTCTTGCTTCTTGGAATGCCAGAGAAAAACCCTCGCATTTATATACCGGGATTGGAAAGCTCCAGAGCGCTCTGGAAAGCTCCAGAGCGCTCTAGATGAAATTTGCCACGTGTACACCACCAGTATTTTACCTGGCCAGGTGTCAACGAGTGGCAGGGTTAGGGTTTAGGGCGATTGTTTAGGGTTCTTGGGGCGGCGATGGCGCCCAGCGTAGCGAGCGGCGGCATTGCCATCGGCCTCAACAAGGGCCATGTCGTCACCAAGAGGATGCCGGCGAAGCGGCCGATCGCGATGCGAGGGGTAAATCTTAGATCTGGTGTTTCAGCTGCTAGAAATCCTCGAAATCTCTCTTGTCTTTTGTGTAGAAAGGGCAGAAGAGGACGCTGTTCGTGAGGAAGCTCATCCGGGAGGTCGTGGGGTTTGCGCCCTACGAGAAGAGGATCACGGAGCTTCTCAAGGTCGGCAAGGACAAGCGCGCATTGAAGGTCGCCAAGCGAAAGCTTGGGTCTCATCTGAGAGCCAAGAAGAAGCGCGAGGAGATGTCCACTGTTTTAAGGAAGATGAGGTACCTATGCATTTTTCTTTCTAGCCATTGTATCTTTAGCTCACAGTTCTTGTGACTTTCAGGTCTTCCGGGAAGTGAGAGACACTGTTTTTTCCAAACTTTTTTCTTTGAATCAATCGCAACGACTCGTATTGACAGATCGATCGAGCTCGATATGGTACAGACCCGTGTTTCGTGTTATCTCTATCGTTTCTTCTTGAGCATATCTCTGACTTCGTCTAGTACAAGCCATGCCTGGTGGCCGCCTATAACTTCGCCTTGCTTCTCTCCGTTTCGCCAAAGCTTGAGGAAAATCCGAAAGTGAGAATGGACAAGGGAAGAGGATCGATCATTGCTTGCTTACCTGAATCGTGGGCATTTTCTGCAGATCAAACAAGCGAAGAACTCAGAACTTGGAACTTCAAAAGCAAAGAAAAAACTCGAGGTTCGTTCGATATTTTACCGTGACTGACGCTCGCTCTATGAGTGATTTTGGCACACAATTCACGTCCACGCAGTAGAAGTTGATACTGTTTCACGACTCGAGATGAGAATCGCCAAGAACGTCGAGACAAGAGGGATTTCTTACTGTGGATAGAACTCGGCCCCAAGCTTCTCGAGCTTGGGCTTCAAGTAGATGCACTTCCGACACCACAGTGCCATCCTGGAAGGTTTGGAGTTTACGAAATGATATACGGCGCTCGAAAGTTACCATTCGATCACTGCTCCTTTGTTGGATTCCTGGCAGTCGAGTAGAACTCGGTCGAATTCCTCCTCGCTTGTGATGGGGTGGAGCTCAACCTTGTCGGGCTTTTGGATTCCTCCCCACCAGGTAGCGGCTTGGATTGCCATTCCTTTCCTTGAGTTGGGCGTATTGGGCGGACAGGGAGAGAATCTAATGAGAGATTGCGAGGGCAAGAGCGCGCACGCCATGGATAGAGATAAATCCGATAAGCGAATATTTTTAACCAACATGGAATATTCTTTATTAGGGCAGTTGAAATTAAAGGACGAATAGTTTCAACCCTAGAGCAATTAAGCAAATTAGAGAATATTCGTTAACCAGCAAAGAATATTCTTTAGGGCAATGGCAAAGACGAAGAAGCACAAGCCGAATCCGCGGAAGAAGAGGAAGAAGGGGAGCGATTGCCTTGCGCTCAGCTGCTTAGAGGCGTGGTCTCGATGCGATGGCGCTGTGTTGGTGGATCTACACTGCCACACCACTTGCAGCGATGGATTGCTCAGCCCGCCAGCGCTCGTGGAGCGAGCTCACAAGAGAGGGGTACGCGCTGGCTCGTGTCTTTCTCGACTACACTCTTGTCTTCCAGGTTAAAGTTCTGGCGCTCACGGATCACGACACCATGGCCGGCGTCCCAGCCGCCATCGCCGCCGCTCGGAGCTATGGAATGCGGATCATCCCTGGAGTGGAGATCAGCTGCCGATATCTTTCCAGGTAGAGAAGAAGCAAAGTTTTCTCGTTTCTCCGATTGATCAACCCAGGCAATGATTTTCTTTCTGGCAGCTCCGGAGAGATGGGAGAGCTTGTCCATGTTCTAGCTTACTATGGATGCTGCGGTCCCGCTCAAGGATTGGAGGAGAGGCTGGCTCACATCCGCGAGGGGAGATACGCTCGAGCGCGTAGCATGGTGGACAAGCTCCGGGATTTGAAGAAACCAGTGAGGTGGGAGAGTGTTCTTGAGTTTGCTGGCGATGGAGTAGCTCCTGGACGGCCTCACGTCGCTCGGGCTCTCGTCCAGGCCGGGCATGTTAGCAGCGTTGGCGAAGCGTTTCACAAGTATCTCCACGATGGCGGACCTGCGTACTCCAAGTAAGTTTTTCTAGCGAGCTTTCATGGATGGAGATAGAAGTCTTTCTTTGGTTTTGTGCTATAGTGGCTCCGAGCTTCCGGCGGGAGAAGCTGTGGAGCTCATCAGAGAAACGGGAGGGATTGCTGTGCTCGCTCATCCCTGGAGCTTAAAGAATCCCTTGGACGTTGTCAAGCAGCTAAAGGACGCCGGGCTTCATGGAATGGAAGTTTACAAGTCTTCTGGACGGGACAAAGGTATGATCGTCTCATATTCACGTTCGTGTCATGTTTAGAACTTCGCTTTCCCGTTGCAGCCTTTGCAGATCTAGCTGACGCTTATCATCTCGTAAAGCTCGGCGGATCAGACTTCCATGGAACTGGCGCGGCGGACGAGACCGATCTGGGGAAAGTGGAAGTTCCCGCCAAGGCATTGCACGAGTTCCTCCGTGCGGGTGATCCGGTATGGTTGGATTCCGTGATGAGCATCTTGTCGAGTTTTGCGGCAGGGACAATCACGGCTCAAAGCCCGGATTGTGACCGGAAAGAAGCCAAGAGCAACACAAATACTCTAGATTTATCTGGAGACGCTGAGCTCCGAGTGGTTTCCAACGGGACAGCGCTGAAACTCTCGTCGTGGCTGAGTGACGAAGAGAAGCAGCGAGTGGTGGCAGCAGCAGCCGAAGCCCATGGTCTCGACGCTAGGATCACAGATGGTAGAGGAGAAGTTCTCGTAACCAAGATCACGCAGGGTGACTGAGTTGTCTTGATTGTCCAAGTCCTTTTCTTTAAAACGTCCGGATCCACCACTGGAAAAGATCACCAGATTTCATGACATCATCCAGCAAGCACCTGTTCCTTGCAACGAGCCACCTCACTAGTGCTTGGACCTTCTACAAGTCCGATTTTTCGCAAGTTCGTCTTGCACTGAGAAGATGAGGTGTGTCTTGAAGCTGTGATAATGAATGTTAACATCACTGACCATGTGAACATAGTGCTAAGCTTTTGTAAGCTTTTGACAGTAATAAAGCATCGCTTGCCTGATGAATTCTTCCAGTTCGTCAACAACTAAGTCACAAAGGTGGCTTCAACCAGAGGTCCGTCACAGACAGGAAGTTCAGGCAAGTTTATGAAATGACAATGGAGAACTTGGGCGACGCCTCTCTCTTTTTTTCAGCTCAACACAACGATCAAGCGCAAGATCAACCAATCTAGAATCTCCAAAATCCGCGAATGGGTTCTTCCAACAAAGCACCGGCCGGGATGGTGGGCGATGGACCAAAACGTCATGTATTTTCCAAAGACATCCTGCCATATGGTTTAAGTAGATGGTATGTTATTTTATTATCGGAGCCCGGTTGCTGAGATGATGGCTATCTGGTAAGTGTAGAGGTAAACCGTTGTAGAAGACCCGGGTTCGATGCCGAAGAGTCCAACCAACAAGGACTTTATGGTAAAGTTTTTTGCTCAATAAGTAGCCCTAGTTCTGGTTTGCTAGCTCACTAAAAAAGCTTAGACCAATCGGTTGAGGCTTTGGTCTCCCAAACCACAGCTCTCGGGTTCGATTCCTCTTTGTAGATAGAATAAAGTCAGGAATATTCATGGCCAGATGGTTAACCTAGTTTTCCCCTTGTCTAGCATCTTTCCATGGAACACAAAACGTTTGGTCTCCCAGAGTTTTTACTTCTCACCTTCGCTATCTTTCTCCAGGTGCAGTTTAAAAGTAAATTACATTTTTATTAAGCCTCGCCCTCTGCGAGTATAAAAGATCGCAAAGAACTAGGGCTTTCTCATTCTTCCAGTCAGCAAACGGGAGATGGAGTGCGTTAAGGTGCGATCGTCAAAGAGATTGTCCAAGAAGTGCAAGAGGCATGCCGAAGACAAGGAGAACAAACTCAAACAACACCACGAGTGTGACACGGAGCATATGGACGACGACTCTTCGTCCACACTCTTGGACTTGGAGGCAAGCCTAGATTGTTTGTACGAGAAGCGATCCAGCACCCGAGAGGCCGGCTTGAAGGGCATGATCGACGCTTTGGTGGCAAGGGTGATGACCCACTTCGTGGAGGACAAGTATGAAACGTTGACTCATCAAATCCTATCGTCAATCAAGCGGAGTTCTTCGACAGAGGCTGCTCTTGCGGGGCGTGCTCTGGCCATGGTTTCCATCACCGCGGGAGCAGGGAAAGTGGCCGAGCACGTATTCGAGGCTAGCTTCCCTCATCTCTCCAAGATTTCCAAGCTCGGACGCGATTCTGCCGCGAGGGTTTCAGCGATTGAGGCTCTCGGGATGTTGGCTTTCGTTGGTGGCGTGGACTTGGAGGAGGCAAGCGCGATGGAGGTCCTGTGGCAGATTGTCATCCACAAAGGCAGTGCTCACGCAGATCAAACTCTTGGTACGAGCAAACCCACACCTCCAGTCAAGGCGGCCGCCATCACGGCTTGGAGTTTGCTGCTTTCTACGTTGAGCTCCAAGAGAGTCATGGCCCTCCAGCTCCCGAGTGTGTTGGGAGCTCTGTCCTGTTTGCTCGAGGATCCAGATGTAGGTGTTCGCAAGGCTGCCGGGGAAGCCATTGCTCTTCTCTTCGAAGTTGGCGGCATCCACCTGTTGGAGGAGCAAGCTCTTGGCGAAGGTGGAGCAACGGCAATGGAGCTGCAGGTGGTGGATCAGATGAAAGCGCTGGCTGCCTCTTCCAGCCGGAAGGGCCAGACGAAGAAAGAAAGATCCGAGCAGAGGAGCAGCTTCAGGGACATGGTGGCGACTCTCCAAGGTGGTGCGTGTCATGAGACTTGTGTCAAGCTCAAGCACGGTGACTCGCTCAAGATCAGTACGTGGAGCCAAACCGTGCAGCTCAATGCCTTCCGAAGCCTCCTGGGCGAAGGCTTTCAGAGGCACTTGCAGGAAAACGATCTCCTGCACCAAGTGTTCAACTTTGCTCCAAGCAACACTGTGGTTTACAAGGGGACGGCAAAACAGCAAAAGCATCAGAACTGCATGGCGAGTAAAATGAAGACCCAACTCATGAACCAGAGAAGGTGTGCGCTTGAGGCCACTCGAAAGTTTAACGACGGTAGCATTGAAATATGCTAGAGGAGTGGAAATCTTTAACATTCAAATGTATCAAACTTAAGATCACTTAAGAGAGAGAACTAAAACGACTTGTGTATGCTACAAAGATCTCAAGCTGAAAAAATGTCGAGAATTCTACTCGACCTCTTCAAGCGGTTTACTTTTCAGCTTGGCCTTTCTTGAGCGCTGAAACATTGAGTGCCTCGTTAGCATGTTTACAACTTCTCTCTAGCTTCGTACCCTCCAGGGGAGAAACTTTCTGCTCCTCATTCTGCAGCGCAAGTGAGAGGAAAACGAAGCCGAGAAGCTTACTCGCAGTACTTGCGGGCGAGACTTTGTAGTGACTGCGTGTTATACCTGTCTTTCATCTTCTCAACGCGTTTCATCTCCTTGAGTTTCACCAGGTTTTCCTGCCTCTTCTTTCAGCTCTGTATGGCAGCGACATAAGAGCAAAACAGAGCCCCCAATCTTGACTTCCCAAACCAAAAACATGCTCAGAATTAAAGTGAGCAAGTGAGAAAGTTGTGCACAAGTGTGGGGGTCTTGAAGGTGATTGGCAGAAGAATGGCAGGCAGGCGTGGACTGTGAACAATTTCAAGATGTCGTCCTCTCCCAAAAAAGCCCCCATCTTGGTTTTAATTTCACCTTTAAGCTTTCGGGTGGTAACCAAGATCTTGCTTCGATTTTGTATCAAAACGATCCAAAAGATCACTAGATTTCGAGACATTCATTGTCGATTGGACCGATTTTTGGCAAGTTCGTCTTGCTTTGCCTCCACCTGAGAAGATGCAAGAAGATGTGATAAAGGAACGTAAATGTCACATGATTGACCGCGTGAACATAGTGGTAAGCTTTTGAGAGTAATGAGGCGATCGACCAAAACGTAAACACACCCTGCCATATGGTTTAACTACATGGTATTGTTATTTTATTATCGGAGCCCGGTTGCCGAGATGATGGCTATCAGGTAAGTGTAGAGGTAAACCGTTGTAGAAGACCCGGGTTCGATGCCGAAGAGTCCAACCAACAAGGACTTTATGGTAAAGTTTTTTGCTCAATAAGTAGCCCTAGTTCTGGCTTGCTAGCTCACTAAAAAAGCTTAGACCAATCAGTTGAGGCCTTGGTCTCCCAAACCACAGCTCTCGGGTTCGATTCTTCTTGGTAGATAGAATAGAGAGTGGGAAAATGCGGCAATATGCTTGCAAAGCTTGAGCCCTAGTTTATTTTTCCCCTTCTCCGTCGTCGTTTCGCTTCGCCCTATCGCCCTAGCAACGACAAGATCGTCCAGCTCGAGTTCCATCCCGCGCAGCCCTGCCTCGCAGCTGCTCGTGGATCTGGCGCCGTCGCATCGCCAGGTGAGCTGCTCTTGCTCGGGAAATCGCGAAACCTCACATTCGGGGTTTCTACCTCCTGTATGAGCTCAATGCTGGGGCATAAGCGCCTCGTTGTGGAGATCCGGGTAACATATTTCTGGATGCGTCTCTTTGATCCACCCTGTTAGATACGATATTTGTAATTGAAGGAAGGTAACGACTGTGACAGGCTTCCTTAGTTGTAACTTGTAATGGTGTTCTTCTTCTTTGCCTTGGCAGTGTGAAGCACATCAGATTTGACGATGGGTGGATCAGTTGGACACGCTCATTCCTCTCCAGCTCACTTCTCTCCATCCCGTTGTTTGGGTAGCTCTGGCTCCACTCGAGGCCGACACTTCCTCCTCGTTGTCTGCTGCGAGAACAAAGACATCTTCTCCGATCTCAGCACAGTGCGTGCTCGGCAAACAAATCCTGGAAAACAAAGCGCCTCTATGGTATGTTTGTGAGCGTCATTTCTTTTTTATCTAGCGTCGTCTTGGGTGATGCCAGGGTGCTTCGCTTGTGGAGATGGCACGACTCTTATGACGTCTAGCGCGGCGGTAAGTTGAGAGCTCTCGGGTTTTTGATAGAGAGCCTAGTTAAATCTCTGAATTTCCAGACGCTTTTGGTGTCCGTGGCTATGGAATGAATGGAATTGCTCTTTCCTGATTTGCCTCTGCGGGCTCACGATGGTGGTGTGCACGGGATGGAAATGGCCAAAGTACCACCAAAGGGACCTCCTCAACTTGTAAACCAAGATGGCATTGGCCATCTGGGATACCACTTCTTTCAGGGTAAGATACAAGTATTTCAAATGATCGCTGCAGGAACTTTCTATTACTGTACAAAGGTTTCGTTTCTCTCGAGTCAGTTTGTGTTTACTGTGAATGCGCACCTGACTTTCAGTTTTACCGTGCAGGTGTGTGTTCGTCGATGCGGGGGTACGTGCCATTGATGTTGAAAGAAGGAAGAGATGAAGAACCGTGCAGCTCAGGGAGCCTCCATGGCAGACTGCTTTGTTCGACCACCTATGTTACAGGTACGTTGGTTATACGCTTAGAAGTTTGGTAAGTTTAATTTCTGTCACAGGTTGTCCGGCTCGCTCCATGCCACACTGCTCCTTCAATTGCACGGCCTCCGCCAGCCAAGTGGATGTGGAAGACAAGAAGGTTGCAGGCGTGGCGTGGCGTTGCGATGGGGGAGGCGGCGTTGCTGTAGCAGTATGCAGATTACCGATGGAGCGTCCTTTGGATTGTTGACAGGTAACTGGATTGCATTCATTTTAACGGAGCATGATCATTTGTGGACGTGCAGTTTGTATGACAGGTTCATGGTTTATCCACCGATGTCTTGCTGCTCACGGAGACGTTACATTGCTAGCGCTGTGAAATGGTATGCTTTACTGATTGGTAGTACTTGCTTTACTAGTAGTCCTTGTTTTGCAGGGCTTTCAGGCTTGGACGAGAGCACCATGACGACCTTGCTCAGTTTATGCTAGGCATGGGCTATGCTACTGAAGCTTTACGTCTGCCTGGCATTCCGAAGGTGGGTTTGTCACTTACATCTCGAAGAGGTTTTGTGTTGAGCGAGTTGCTGGTGTGTAGGCTGGAGTGTGACCTCGCAAGCAATGCCTCGTCACGCTAAGCCAAGAAGCTGATGCAGTTTGACAACCAAGGAGAAAACAAGCGACGGTTTGTGAAGTTCTCCGATGAGCTAGTAGATGCCGAGTGCCAAAAAAGCTGGCAGTGGCTGGTCCTGTCGAAGGGGAATCGAATGAGAATACTCGGGCGCTCGTCCAGGTTTGTCTTTCTTGACATTCACTTGACTCATTGTAACAGCTCGTGCCTATTAGTTTAGATACAACAGGAGGAGGCCCAGAAACATTGGTAGTGGTGAGCTTTTCAGAGTTATGAAGGATCGGTTGCCTGATGATCACTTCCAGTTCGTCAACAGGTAAGTTACACCAAGTTTATGAAATGACAATGGAGAACTTTGGTGACGCCTCTCTCCTCTTTTTCTCAGCTCAACACAACGATCAAGCGCAGCGCAATCTATCGACCAATCTAGAATCTCCAAAATCCGCAAATGGGTTCTTCCAAGGACGAAGCGCCGAGAATGCGGGGGATGGTACCAAAACGTCATGTATCTTCCAAAGACATCCTGCCATATGGTTTAAGTAGATGGTATGTTATTTTATTATCGGAGCCCGGTTGCTGAGATGATGGCTATCTGGTAAGTGTAGAGGTAAACCGTTGTAGAAGACCCGGGTTCGATGCCGAAGAGTCCAACCAACAAGGGCTTTATGGTAAAGTTTTTTGCTCAATAAGTAGCCCTAGTTCTGGTTTGTTAGCTCACTAAAAAAGCTTAGACCAATCGGTTGAGGCTTTGGTCTCCCAAACCACAGCTCTCGGGTTCGATTCCTCTTTGTAGATAGAATAAAGTCAGGAATATTCATGGCCAGATGGTTAACCTAGTTTTCCCCTTGTCTAGCAAGATTGCCCTTGTTTAAAAGTAAATTACATTTTTATTAAGCCTCGCCCTCTGCGAGTATAAAAGATCGCAAAGAACTAGGGCTTTCTCATTCTCCCAGTCAGCAAACGGGCGATGGAGTGCGGTTTCAGCGATTGAGGCTCTCGGGATGTTGGCTTTCGTTGGTGGCGTGGACTTGGAGGAGGCAAGCGCGATGGAGGTCCTGTGGCAGATTGTCATCCACAAAGGCAGTGCTCACGCAGATCAAACTCTTGGTACGAGCAAACCCACACCTCCAGTCAAGGCGGCCGCCATCACGGCTTGGAGTTTGCTGCTTTCTACGTTGAGCTCCAAGAGAGTCATGGCCCTCCAGCTCCCGAGTGTGTTGGGAGCTCTGTCCTGTTTGCTCGAGGATCCAGATGTAGGTGTTCGCAAGGCTGCCGGGGAAGCCATTGCTCTTCTCTTCGAAGTTGGCGGCATCCACCTGTTGGAGGAGCAAGCTCTTGGCGAAGGTGGAGCAACGGCAATGGAGCTGCAGGTGGTGGATCAGATGAAAGCGCTGGCTGCCTCTTCCAGCCGGAAGGGCCAGACGAAGAAAGAAAGATCCGAGCAGAGGAGCAGCTTCAGGGACATGGTGGCGACTCTCCAAGGTGGTGCGTGTCATGAGACTTGTGTCAAGCTCAAGCACGGTGACTCGCTCAAGATCAGTACGTGGAGCCAAACCGTGCAGCTCAATGCCTTCCGAAGCCTCCTGGGCGAAGGCTTTCAGAGGCACTTGCAGGAAAACGATCTCCTGCACCAAGTGTTCAACTTTGCTCCAAGCAACACTGTGGTTTACAAGGGGACGGCAAAACAGCAAAAGCATCAGAACTGCATGGCGAGTAAAATGAAGACCCAACTCATGAACCAGAGAAGGTGTGCGCTTGAGGCCACTCGAAAGTTTAACGACGGTAGCATTGAAATATGCTAGAGGAGTGGAAATCTTTAACATTCAAATGTATCAAACTTAAGATCACTTAAGAGAGAGAACTAAAACGACTTGTGTATGCTACAAAGATCTCAAGCTGAAAAAATGTCGAGAATTCTACTCGACCTCTTCAAGCGGTTTACTTTTCAGCTTGGCCTTTCTTGAGCGCTGAAACATTGAGTGCCTCGTTAGCATGTTTACAACTTCTCTCTAGCTTCGTACCCTCCAGGGGAGAAACTTTCTGCTCCTCATTCTGCAGCGCAAGTGAGAGGAAAACGAAGCCGAGAAGCTTACTCGCAGTACTTGCGGGCGAGACTTTGTAGTGACTGCGTGTTATACCTGTCTTTCATCTTCTCAACGCGTTTCATCTCCTTGAGTTTCACCAGGTTTTCCTGCCTCTTCTTTCAGCTCTGTATGGCAGCGACATAAGAGCAAAACAGAGCCCCCAATCTTGACTTCCCAAACCAAAAACATGCTCAGAATTAAAGTGAGCAAGTGAGAAAGTTGTGCACAAGTGTGGGGGTCTTGAAGGTGATTGGCAGAAGAATGGCAGGCAGGCGTGGACTGTGAACAATTTCAAGATGTCGTCCTCTCCCAAAAAAGCCCCCATCTTGGTTTTAATTTCACCTTTAAGCTTTCGGGTGGTAACCAAGATCTTGCTTCGATTTTGTATCAAAACGATCCAAAAGATCACTAGATTTCGAGACATTCATTGTCGATTGGACCGATTTTTGGCAAGTTCGTCTTGCTTTGCCTCCACCTGAGAAGATGCAAGAAGATGTGATAAAGGAACGTAAATGTCACATGATTGACCGCGTGAACATAGTGGTAAGCTTTTGAGAGTAATGAGGCGATCGACCAAAACGTAAACACACCCTGCCATATGGTTTAACTACATGGTATTGTTATTTTATTATCGGAGCCCGGTTGCCGAGATGATGGCTATCAGGTAAGTGTAGAGGTAAACCGTTGTAGAAGACCCGGGTTCGATGCCGAAGAGTCCAACCAACAAGGACTTTATGGTAAAGTTTTTTGCTCAATAAGTAGCCCTAGTTCTGGTTTGCTAGCTCACTAAAAAAGCTTAGACCAATCAGTTGAGGCCTTGGTCTCCCAAACCACAGCTCTCGGGTTCGATTCCTCTTTGTAGATAGAATAAAGTCAGGAATATTCATGGCCAGATGGTTAACCTAGTTTTCCCCTTGTCTAGCAAGATTGCCCTTGTTTAATGTGTCATCAGCAGCTCTTTCCATGGAACACAAACTTCTCATGTTTGCTATCTTTCTCCAGGTGAAGTTTAAAAGTAAATTACATTTTTATTAAGCCTCGCCCTCTGCGAGTATAAAAGATCGCAAAGAACTAGGGCTTTCTCATTCTCCCAGTCAGCAAACGGGCGATGGAGTGCGTTAAGGTGCGATTGTCAAAGAGATTGTCCAAGAAGTGCAAGAGGCATGCCGAAGACAAGGAGAACAAACTCAAACAACACCACGAGTGTGACACGGAGCATATGGACGACGACTCTTCGTCCACACTCTTGGACTTGGAGGCAATCTTGGATTGTTTGTACGAGAAGCGATCCAGCACCCGCGAGGCCGGCTTGAAGGGCATGATCGACGCTTTGGTGGCAAGGGTGATGACCCACTTCGTGGAGGACAAGTATGAAACGTTGACTCATCAAATCCTATCGTCAATCAAGCGGAGTTCTTCGACAGAGGCTGTTCTTGCGGGGCGTGCTCTGGCCATGGTTTCCATCACCGCGGGAGCAGGGAAAGTGGCCGAGCACGTATTCGAGGCTAGCTTCCCTCATCTCTCCAAGATTTCCAAGCTCGGACGCGATTCTGCCGCGAGGGTTTCAGCGATTGAGGCTCTCGGGATGTTGGCTTTCGTTGGTGGCGTGGACTTGGAGGAGGCAAGCGCGATGGAGGTCCTGTGGCAGATTGTCATCCACAAAGGCAGTGCTCACGCAGATCAAACTCTTGGTACGAGCAAACCCACACCTCCAGTCAAGGCGGCCGCCATCACGGCTTGGAGTTTGCTGCTTTCTACGTTGAGCTCCAAGAGAGTCATGGCCCTCCAGCTCCCGAGTGTGTTGGGAGCTCTGTCCTGTTTGCTCGAGGATCCAGATGTAGGTGTTCGCAAGGCTGCCGGGGAAGCCATTGCTCTTCTCTTCGAAGTTGGCGGCATCCACCTGTTGGAGGAGCAAGCTCTTGGCGAAGGTGGAGCAACGGCAATGGAGCTGCAGGTGGTGGATCAGATGAAAGCGCTGGCTGCCTCTTCCAGCCGGAAGGGCCAGACGAAGAAAGAAAGATCCGAGCAGAGGAGCAGCTTCAGGGACATGGTGGCGACTCTCCAAGGTGGTGCGTGTCATGAGACTTGTGTCAAGCTCAAGCACGGTGACTCGCTCAAGATCAGTACGTGGAGCCAAACCGTGCAGCTCAATGCCTTCCGAAGGCTCCTGGGCGAAGGCTTTCAGAGGCACTTGCAGGAAAACGATCTCCTGCACCAAGTGTTCAACTTTGCTCCAAGCAACAGTGTGGTTTACAAGGGGACGGCAAAACAGCAAAAGCATCAGAACTGCATGGCGAGTAAAATGAAGACCCAACTCATGAACCAGAGAAGGTGTGCGCTTGAGGCCACTCGAAAGTTTAACGACGGTAGCATTGAAATATGCTAGAGGAGTGGAAATCTTTAACATTCAAATGCATCATACTTAGGATCACACGAGAAAGAGTTAGTTACTAAATCAAAAAATTACTTGCTGAAAAAATCTTGAGAATTCTAACTCTACCTCTCCAAGCGGTTTAGCTTTCAACTTGGCCTTTCTTGAGTGCTGAACATTGAGTGCCTCGTTATTACAACTTCTCTCTCGCTTCACACCCTCCACGGGTGAAACCTTCTGCTCCTCATTCCGCAGCGCAAGTGAGAGGAAAACGAAGCCGACAAGCTCGAGTGACTCCATTCGAACCAACTATTTTCTTTCTTTGTTCGAGCGATTCGATTCACTATTATTGAGGAACTCTGTTGCAAAGAGAAGAAAGTTACTATATATCTAAACCATGTCAGAAAAGTGTAAAAAATAATCCATGCAAGTTGATGGGACCACGGCTTAAAGATTTTAAATCGCAGTACTTGTGCAGTACTTGTGGACCAGACTTTGTAGTGAATGCGTGTTATACTTCAACGCATTTCATCTCATCATCCCCAAGAGTTTCACCCTGTTTCCTCGCCTCTTCTTTCATCTCCGTATGCCAGCGGCGCAAGTGCTTGAAGGCTGGCCCCTGTTAGGTCACTGGAAAAAGAGACTCAGTAGTTCTTCCACCTCCTCGCCAGTTGTCCAAGTCCTTTCCAATTTCCTTCAAAAGCTCTTCGCATCTTCCGTATCTCCATCTTTTTCTACTTCTGCTTCTCTTTTTTCAAGTTTGGTTGATCAATGCCTGCTGGTTTATGCTTCACGGCACCACTATTGCTGCTGTCTCTTGCGGATTACAATTAGCAAACATTAGGAAACAAAATCTCATCGACTTACAGCGCTCCATTATCCAGTGCAGTCTGGTTGTTTGTGATACTCAGAACGGTGCTGGCTTTGGACTTTTCACGTTGGGCAGCCACATTTTAGGTGCCGTGATCAATCATTCTTGACACAACAGGAAAATCCATGCCCGAGTCTCGTACTGGATCTCCGCATCGTAGAGAAGTAGGATCATGCTGGATATCATGCCCCAACTTGAGTCTCTGCAGTACCTGTTGTTCCTCATCAAGGAGTAGCAGTTGATCATTGAGTTTGCTCAAATCGTTTTCGAGTGCTTGACGAGCCACTCAATGATTACTTCGATGTTGGTAGAGTTCTTGCGCGAGATCATGTAGCACATAACCCCAATCTTGTCTGCCTGCCAATCACCTTCAGAAGGCCCCCACCCGTGTCCACAACTTTCTCTTGACCCTGAACATGTTTTTGGTTTGGGAAGGCACAATTTCAAGCTAAAAGCCTCATCTCACCTATCCTTTCAAGCATATCAAATTTTCAGGTGGTGACGAAGATCTTGCTTTGCACCACATTAAACAGATCCAAAAGATCGCCAGATTTCCAGACATCATCCAACACCAGCAAGCACCTCTTCCCTGCCAGCCCCCTCCTCAATGTTTCATTGCTGACACGATCTTCTAGTCTGATTTGTCTGGCATGTTCGTCTTGCTTTGCTTCCCATAGTAAGTAATGTGTCGAACATTGCTTAAGCTGTGATAAGGAACATACGCGACACGACTGACCGAATGTTGGCCACAAAACTGGAGCCTTCACTTGGTCGTTGTCACATATGCGTTTGGCCAAGAGTGTTTTTCCAGCACCTCTTACTCCATGGACTCCGATCCACTTGCTGGTTACAGGGGATCTCAGCAAGTCCGATACAACCTGCTCCCATCTCTTCCATGCCAAAAGTGTGGCCATCCGAGTAACAACATGCTCTTCTTCCTTTAGAACCACATGAGATGGTACCTTCTTCAACGTAACTCTGTTCAGAAGCTCAACCCCCAAGATTTCGAGGAGCTGCAGCCAAGTGCCCTTCAATTGCCTTGGAGGAGTGGTCAATCTTGGTAGCAAGTGCTATCCTGGAACAAAATCAGAACTCAATCAGGCAAGAGGAGCACAACACTAGCCAACCTTTTTGGGAAATCTAGAATGGGTGTTTGTAGAGATTGGCACTCGAGAACAAGAGGTTTAGCCTTTGCGACCTTACTTTTGAGTTTCAGCCAGGTGTCCAAGCGTGAGGAGCTCAGAGCCTTCAGTAGCAGAATTCACGAGCAGAGCCGATGCTTTCAAGGAATCTTCCAACTCGATGCAGTGCTCCTTGCAATGAATGGCAGACCTTGGAAAGCCCAATCATCACTTCATTGACAGCTGCAGAAACAAGCGCACTCAGCACACCGGTGGGATCAAGGTACAGGCCGGTCAACCTTTGTCTAAGAAAGTCAGCAATTCGGTCAACGGTCTCGAAGTTTAATAAGAGCTTTGAGCTAATTAGCGCTTAGGGTTTTGGCGCAGGAACGATGCATTCGTTCCTGTTGAGAGGGAATGCGGTGCTCACCTTCGCGCTCACGGTCCTGGCCGTGGCTTGCGTCTTGGCATCGCTCACCGACACGCTCCACTCCTCCAAACCCGAGGTTAATGTCGAGGTATGGGATCGTGGTTTTGTTTGCGCTTCGATTTTTTGGCTCACGGATCCATTTCTGGCTGGATCGGCTGGCTTGTAGATCTTGAGCGTGGATGCGTTCGGCAGGAACCCCGGCGGCAATGACGAGGTTGTTTTGACACTGCACATATCGGCCGACCTTCAATCGGTCTTTACATGGAACACAAAGCAGGTGTTTTGATTTTTCTTTGTTTGTTCTCCCATCTTTGTGTTGGGTTTTTTGTCTTGCTAGCTCTTCGTGTTTCTGGCGGCCGAGTATGAGAGCTCCAAGAACGTCTTGAACCAGGTAAGAGATCTTCCTACAAGTGTTTAGTTGAGATTTCCAAGCTCGGCTGGGTTTCCTCTCTTGCGCAGATTTCTATCTGGGATTCGATCATCCAATCCAAGGAAGACGCGAAGATTCATCGAAGAACTCGCAACAAGTACTCCTTCGTCGATCAGGTGACAAAAGAAAAGAAAACATCCCCCAAAACAGTGGATTTGATTTTTTTTCCAGGGAAGCAATCTCCGCGGCAAGGATTTTAACCTGACACTGCACTGGAACATCATGCCCGTAACCGGTGCAATGTTTTCCGAGAAGAGAGTGCTCACAGGCTTCCGCCTCCCTAAGAATTACATGTAAGCTCATTAATCTCTCTGTTTTGGACTACACATTAAGAGACTATGAACGAAATAATTGGCCCTTTTTTGCTTAAAATCTTTTTTAGAGCCTAATATATACATAAATAAAGCTGTAGAGTGGTAATGAATATACTTTAAATATATTTAAATATTCTGGGATATTTTACAATTTAACAGTTATTATTTATTTAGATTAATTTTGTATTTATGATTTATAAACATATTTATAATTTACAAACTTTCTTTCTTTAAACACTTTCTAGTATATTCTAGTTTATTCTACCATTTAATAGTTAATTTGCAATAAAATTAATCTTACATTTATAAATTATAAACATGTTTATAATTATATGATCAATTGGATTAATTAATAGAAATAACACTACTAAAGTGCTGTTGCATGCAAATTATTATATTAGTGTTATTAACCAATCACATTCAAAATATTTATGGCAGACAAAAAAATTCATTATTATATTTTAGCAGGTTCTCAAATTATTAGGTTACAAATTTATGTTTCTTTTAATTGGTCCCGATAACCGTTAGTTTAAAAGCATATTCTAAAATATTACTAATATATGGCGTACACGTCATTTTGGCGCCAAGAGATGCTTAATCTTTTGGCGCCAAGAGTCGTCCCGCTTACACTCTCCTGGGGAGTGCTTTTTTAGAGCCCGAATTTTGTCCAAAGTGCTGCAGGACTCTCTGCTTCACCCAGTGAGTCGTTGCACGTCAAGATCAACAGCACCATAGCAGCAGGACAAGATGAGGGAGTGCATCTCGATCCACATTGGCCAAGCAGGGGTCCAAGTTGGTAATGCTTGCTGGGAGCTCTACTGCCTGGAGCATGGAATCCAGGTACTTAAAACACTCCCGCTTTTATGAGGCCTGAGCGAGCCCCTGCTGTGCTCAGCCCGATGGCCAAATGCCGACTGACAAGACAATTGGCGGAGGTGACGACGCCTTCAACACTTTCTTCAGCGAGACAGGTGCGGGAAAGCACGTACCGCGCTCGGTGTTTCTCGACTTGGAACCCACGGTGATAGACGAAGTGAGGACTGGTACATACCGGCAGCTCTTCCACCCCGAACAACTTATCAGTGGGAAGGAAGATGCCGCCAACAATTTCGCCAGAGGCCATTACACAAGTGAGTGCCCGACTTACAACAAGGCCATAACGATTCAACGCAAACCTTTGTTTGTGTGCAGTTGGGAAGGAGATCGTCGACCTGTGCCTGGATCGAATCAGGAAGCTTGCAGACAACTGCACTGGCCTCCAAGGCTTTCTTATCTTCAACGCCGTGGGAGGAGGCACCGGCTCCGGCCTGGGGTCGTTGCTGCTGGAGCGCCTCTCGGTTGACTACGGCAAGAAATCCAAGCTTGGCTTTACGGTCTATCCGTCGCCTCAAGTTTCCACGGCTGTTGTGGAGCCCTACAACAGCGTGCTCTCCACCCATTCGCTGCTGGAGCACACCGACGTCGCAGTGCTGCTGGACAACGAAGCCATCTACGACATCTGCCGCCGCTCACTGGACATTGAGAGGCCCACCTACACCAACCTCAACAGGCTCGTGTCACAGGTACACTTGTTTGTGTGCTGTATGCGTGCGCGTGTAACCATCCGTTTTCCCAGGTGATCTCGTCCCTGACGGCGTCACTCCGCTTCGACGGTGCACTCAACGTCGACATTACAGAGTTCCAGACCAACTTGGTGCCTTATCCTCGGATTCACTTCATGCTCTCCTCGTACGCTCCAGTCATATCCGCAGAAAAGGCATACCACGAGCAGCTATCAGTTTCCGAGATAACGAGTACGGCGTTCGAGCCCGCGTCTATGATGGCCAAGTGCGACCCCCGTCACGGCAAGTACATGGCCTGCTGCCTCATGTACCGAGGTGACGTGGTCCCCAAGGACGTGAACTCTGCGGTGGGAACCATCAAGACTAAGAGAACCATCCAGTTCGTTGATTGGTGTCCCACAGGCTTCAAGTGTGGCATCAACTACCAGCCACCAACAGTTGTTCCCGGGGGTGATCTCGCCAAGGTCCAAAGAGCCGTCTGCATGATTTCTAACTCGACCAGCGTCGCAGAAGTCTTCTCCAGAATTGATCACAAGTTTGATCTCATGTATGCCAAGCGCGCCTTTGTGCACTGGTACGTCGGGGAAGGCATGGAAGAGGGAGAATTCTCTGAAGCCCGGGAGGACCTTGCGGCACTCGAGAAGGACTACGAAGAAGTTGGTGCAGAGTCCACTGAAGGGGAAGGCGAGGAGGAAGGAGAGGAGTATTGAATAACCAAACGCAGGCGCTGTAATTTTTACGAGACAGATAAAGATGCATTCACCGCCTGTATGTCTGTGTCTGCGTGTGTGTGTGTGCAAACCCGCAGGTGGAAGACGAACAGTATCCTGGAAACAGCAACTCGTCAAGTTGGCTCTAATAAGGCGTTTACCCTTGGCATTTTTGACATTTTTTTCATTTCCCTTTGTTATGAATGGCTGACTTCGAAGCGCAACACTACGTTGACCCGTGGGATAAAGATTGGCCATGACTGCATTTGCTACATACTGCCAAATTTACATGCAAACGTTGAGCGTTAGCCACACGTCACGAACAACAACAGGCCGGTGACATAATCCGGTTCAAGCACACCTAAAACCAAGTTTTATAAAAGCTTTGGGTTTTAGGAGCACAAACATGGCATAATAATTTAGATCCCTCAATCTAGCCCTTTAACGAATCAGGGTCTGCGAGGAATATCTGTTTTTATTTTTTCTTGCAAAGTGATCCATAAATTATGACAAATGTTATAGCTAAATGTTAAAAAGATTAAGATTTTATCAACAATTTCAATTTACATCCCCAGTCAAATACAGAATATTAAGATCATTGATAAAGTATCTACCATTAGCTATCTAGTGGTTGCAGGTGTGTTTATAAATGCTAGATTTTTTTTATAATTTATAAACTTTTTTAAATAGCCAATCACACAACAATACACCATCTTAGTGCAATTGTAACACCGTATAATTATAATTGTCAAGTTTCTAATGATCTGCACCTTGCTCTTACCTGCAGGACAAGAAAGCCATATCCTTCCAACCACAAACTTAACTTATTCTAGAGTTTTTTTTAGTTTTATTTCGTAAATTTTAAATTTTACTATTTTTTAATTAAAAACAATAAACAGGTATACAATAAAAGAAAGCAAAAGAACACGAAGTAATTGAAAATAATGTAAAAATAAAAAGAACAAGTAAAAAAGTAGCAGAACATTGACATAAAATAAATTGCATAATTTAAATTATTAATTTGTTTGGGACATTATTTAAAATTTAGATACGTACAAATACTTTATCATCAGCCTTGGAAACGAGGTTATCTCTTTTATGGTCCACCTGGGACAGGCAAGTCTAGTCTCGTAGCATCTATATTATCTGGGATTTATGGTAATTAAGAACTCTGAGGACATTGACTTCTCGGTTGACTTATAAAGGTCAACACAAGGGAGGTGGTCCAGTTCTCAACTTTTGCTGAGTGACAGTGGCGATGTGAAGATATTCATTTTCACAAGTAACCATCCGGAAAATCTTGACCCTGCTCTGCTTCACAGTGATCGTATGGATCTCCAAGGGCACCTCACGTACTGTAGGTTTGAGGCGCTCGAGGCGCTCATGAAAAACTACATCTCCCAGCACAGGAGAAGAAAAAAAACAGAATAAAGAAATATAAGTTAAAGAGAAGTTAAAAGGAAAGTATAATATGGAACCTAACCCTTTTTATTCGAATTTCATTTCTTTCCTCGATACAAATATATATACATATATATATTTGTTTCGTTTGATACAGAACGGATTTTTTTTTTTCTCCTTTCCTCGTGTTATTGTTTTTCCATCTCATTGCATATAATAGACAGGCCCTGGCATTCCAAACGGTTGAGCGCCTCCATATTGCATTGGCGGAGGAGCAAAGTGTGAAGGCTGAGAGAAAGCACCTGGCATTGGCCCCGCCATTGGAGGTGGCGGCATTTGCTGCTGTGGAGGCATGGGTGCCGGCGGGGCGCTGTAAGCCATGGCGGGCATCATCGCTTGCATCTCCGGGACGCCCTGTGTGTGATCCCATGCCGCGTACGCCGTGTACTCGGCACCCCCGGGAGAGGTGGCCGGGGCCTTTCCCAGCACCGATGGCGATTGAGAGGAAGTGTAGTCTCGGCTCCGGTCGTTGTTAACCTGTGAGGAAGGACTTAGAAAACGAGCTCTACCAGCGAAAAAGCTTTCTTAGCTTTTGCGAGACTGCTTACCCGTACCTTTACATTCAGGTCTGTGTGCCGGGAGTAAGAAAGGTGTAGCTTGCAGTATCCACCTTCGTATATACAGTGGCCCTCCAGGGCCTCTTTGGCTGCCACTGCCGTGGTTACGTCTGGAAGAACAAGCTTTCGTTAGCTATGAGCCTTCAAGGAAAAAACTATGCACGCATCAATCGTACCAGCATATTGTATCAACGCTTGGAAGCCAGCGTTCTTCTCGAAGATAGCGATCTTTTGGATGGGACCAAAGGCGGCAAATACCTGCGGACAGAGAGCACAGCACACGGAGAGTTAGTGCCTCCCAGTCGTTTGAGTGTAAACAGCAAAGTATCTACGACAAAAAATAAAAACCCAGGCAAGAATACCGTGTGCAAGACATCAATCGTGACTGAATATTGCATATTTTCTATCGAAGCAAGTAAGACATTACTTTCAGGTTCCTTCCTCTTGCCATCAGGTCCAGTAGTGTATTCCTGCAAGAAAATCGAGTCGCATTAGGAAAGAAGAGATTTTTCGAGGCTCTTACCTGGCTAATACCATTGATCGCTGATGGAGCAACGGGTAAATAAGGATTTGTGTAGTCCCTGGAGTTAGAAAAGGAAAAAAAGAAAAGAAAAATGAGAATGGGTTGAGAATAACCTGGTGCTACCTGCTGCGGTGACTCTGAAATTTTACATTCAAATCAGTATGAGCAGAGAACGAAATACGAAGATGGCAAGAGCCGACGTGTTCTGGAAGTAAATATCTGAAAGACAAAGAAGTGTTAGTAAACGAGCACCAATATCTGGGCTGCCTACCTAGGAATGCTTCGCCCGTCTAGAGCTTGTCTAGCAGCAGATGCAGTGTTTGCATCACTAAACTGTACCAAAGCCTACAAACTCGAGCAGGTCAGAAGCTGGGCAGGAGAACAAGATAATTACCTGAAAACCAGCAGTTTTCTCAAACGTTGCTATCTTATGGACAAATCCGAATGCTGAAAATACCTGCGTTCAATCAAAGTAAACGTTTTTAGGAACAGAAGTCTCAAGAGCTCGTCCAAACCAGCCAAAGCAGCCACAATTCAAAACTACATGCAGGAAATCAAACGAAAACAAATAAATGCTGCCTATCCTGCAGAATGGAAAACATCCAGCAGCTCGTAGCCAAATACGATTCCTGAGCTAAAGTCCTCCAGGCTAAAGAAAGTAGAAAGCGAGCAAAGGAGAAAAGCGAAAGCCAAATAGGATGGAAGGAAAAAGAAATAATCACGAACTATGAGCTTTTAATGGTTGGAAAAAACTAGTAGGGGTCGAGAGAGCAGGGATCGAAAACGAACACACATGCGCTTTCTCCCATGCAGCAACCTGCCATCGAGGGTGCAGCCGTGACATGGACCGGGCAATCCATGTATCGTTACGTCAAACACCCAAACCAAGCATAAAACAACCCATTAAACGACCTGCAATTAAAAATAATGAAGGAGCTGAAAACCAAAACGTGAAAGTGTATAGACGTGTGACCAAATCGAAAACGAGCTTGCAAAAGTGAGAGTGACAAAAGAAAAAGAAATAAAAACAAGCCACAAAACATAGACTTACCAAGTGTAAGACGTCAATGCTCACGTCGCCAGCCTCCACGCCCTCAATGGTAACGAGCAAAACGTTGCTGGCAACGTCACCGGTGTTCTTGCTGTTTACAATCTCCTGCCGGTTGGAGTACTGTAAGTACACAGTCTTCCCCCTCACTTGCGCTGGCTCCGACGACGAGGCGTAGAAGGAGACCATCGCAATCGCTTGGTTTAAATCGGCCTACAACAAGAGATATAGCTTAGCAGTTCGTAAATCAAAACAGTTTCTAAAGAAGAAGAACGAGGCAAGCAAAGTATACAAGACCACCTTTGCCAGAAAAGTCACGAGAAGAACCAGCAGTAGCAGTGAAAGCAAGCACAAGGTATCAAAGAAGCTCGTTTGTCACAAAGATCATGGACCAGCTAGCTTAATTTTCAAAAGAAAACAAAACCAAGCAAGCAATTCATGGTGCTGGAGGAAAAAAATCTCCAAGAAAAAATCCGAAAACAAAGCAAACCAAGCAAAAGGGAATGGAGGCGAGCTTACGAATTCCACGAATGCCTGGTTCCGGTTGGTTCCCACATTGCATTTGGTATTGACGACCTTGCCAAACATCTTGCACAGTTCGATGAGCTCCTCCTCGGTACACTCCCACGGCAAGTTCCGGATGTGCAAGACCTTGGACGGGGGCTGTGTGTATCGAAACTGGGGCTGGCTGGCTGTGGAAGTCATGCTTGCTCACTCAAACCCTAACGGAATGCTGCCTAGAAGCCCCGGCCTGGAATTCCAGCCATTACCAGCAGCGAAATTCGATGCCGAGCGATCAGAATATCGCGGCAATCAGCGCCCGGCCAGCAGAGGAGGAGCTATCCGCGACGGTGCCGATGGCGACGACGAGATCCTCAGCACTCGCAAGCGCCGGAGTACGGCAAGCTGGATCATCAAGTCCCGATCGCTGGCGCCCTAGTGATTCCTCCTTCCCTAGCGAGAGGCGTGCCACCGAGAGAGGGAAGGAGGAGAGAGAAAGAGAGAGGAAGAGAGAAAATGAGAGAATGAGAGGAGAGAGAGAGACAGTTTTAGGGCTTGTAGCGATAGGGCTGTGCTTGTTGTATGGAGAAGTTACCACTCATTCCGTTGCGTGTTCGATCCTCGTGGCCATTTTTCTATCTCTGGGAGGAAAGAAAGAGTTCGTGGTTCGATTCTCATCCCGCCGCTCATAATCAGTCAGCGAGGGTTGACATGTCAACGATAGTCAACGCCATTGCGAACGATCTCTATTGAAATATCTAAATGATCCAAAAGAAACATCGGTCAATGAGCTTTGATTGGAAATCCACACGCCGAGAATGCGAGAAATCTTCTTTCAAGTCTTTAGAGCTGGATTGGAACTCTGGATGATCCAGAAGAATCACCCCCCAGCACGTCCCAGGTGAGATCGGCGAGCATTGGCGTGCTCTTGTGCAGGCTCTCGTCAATCTCCGCCCAGTGATCACCGTCCATCACGCCTTTGCCGCTGCTAGATCCATTCTGGGCGCTGGAAACCCCGATCGATCCTCCTCCCGGCCCTGGCTCCGATTTTGCGCGACACATATGCTCCATTTCCTCGATTTCTCGCGGCTGATACTGCTGCCGCCGCTGCTTGAAACACACTCTGTTGGACAGCGCCTCGATCTTGGCATCGAGCATAGATGGACTTCGCAAGAAATCTCTAGAAATCGGGATAGACATGCTCGGCATCGAAGGCGAGGAGGAGGATGAAGAGGACGAGGAGGAGGAGAATTGGGATCGCAAGTGGTGGATCAAGTGGGGGAAATTGAGGCGCGCGTACTCACCTCGGAGCTTGTAGGCTGCTTGATCGTAGGCAAACGCGGCCTCCTCGGCGGTCTCGAAAGTTCCCAGCCATAGCCTGGTCCGATTCCTGGGCAGCCGGATCTCCGCTACCCATTTGCCCCAGTGCCGCTGCCTCACCCCGCGGAAGAGCTTGGTGCCAACAACGGGCGATGATCGATTGCTCGTGCTCTCGAGCAAATTCTTGTCCAGTGCTGCGATCTCGATGGAGCCGGTGCTGGAATTCAGGATGATCTGCTGCTGATTCTCGCGATTGTGGCCTGGATTCGCAATGCTGCTCGTGAGATCGATGCTCCCCTGCTGGAAAGAGGTGTGGAGTGCCGCATTGATGAGAGGGATTTGGCCACCCAGAGAGAGGATCTGTGGGTAATTGGGCGTGGATTGGTGGTGATGGCGATCTCCCAACAACCATGCTGGGGATTGAGCTAGGGGTATTTGTTGATCGCCATCGCGTATAGAACTTGAGCTTGCCGCAGCTAGATCCATCAAAGCACTTATTGCATTGTCACTTCGAGGGCGATCCACCATCTTGTCACTAGATTTTGGCAACGATCGAATCAAGCGTTTTGCTCGATCGCTGGGCCAGGAATCTCCATCCACTGGGGCAGAGAAAGAGGATAGGAGCCAGCAGTCCCGGCTTCCAAGAAAAGGGACGAGTTTTTAAAATGGAATGTAGAGGAGAGGATGAGCAATGTGTGTGGAGAAAAAAAAAGAGAGAGAAAGGGGAAGAACACCTAAAGCCAAGGCCGAGGAATCAAACAAAGCAGCTATATTAGATTCGGCTGCGCTGTGAATTGTGATCTGGCTGATTTGTTTTTGCCGGGGTTATAACTGTTGCTCGCGCGTGCTCAAAGAATTTTGCGGCAAAGCGTTCTTGAAAATGGTTTCTTCGCTCATTGATTTAGACCTTGGAGAAATCGAGACGAAACGCTAGCCCTAAAGTCTTTCTTTTAAAAACCCTGACCGGCGGTTAATGTCGTTAAATACTGACGTGGAATTTAAGCGAACGTGGCCAGCATCCATTCGCGGGGCTGCCTCGTGAGTCATCCCTTATATTGGCCACCTAACCCAGTAAAAGGGGAAAAGTGGGGGACCATGTCATAGCATCTGTCAGGACGCGTGTGCGTTGCGCTTTTTCTCGTGCACGGACAGCTGTCAGCTCTGCCCTGGCCAGTTAGGTTTCTTGTGTGACAATGTAGCACATTACTATGATGGGTGAAACCATATAAAATATTTCTCCCATGCGTCAAACAATGTCCCGGCGTTTGATTAGAGTATGGTATGATGTCATGGGTTTGTGTATTTTTAGTGGAATGGCCCAGCAAACAAGCATGATCGCTTTCATGTGACTACCATCCTTGTGGCGATAGACGTGTCTTTGCTTTAGCGTCTTATTGTGCCCACCACCACAAAGGAAAAGAAATGGAGAAAAGCTAGAAGATTGAGGCGACGATAGATCACTCCAATCAATACTTTGGGCCTTGTTTTCTCAATCCTCTCCTCCTTGGCTTGATTCCACTTTGGTGAGAGTTCCAAAACTTCCTCTTGGATCGTCTTTGGGAGTATGCAGAAGTATGAAAGACTTGTAAACTAGAGACAAACACACATGCTTAAAGCGAAGGCTAAGAGTTATCAAAATCATAGTTTTGGTCAGCACAACGCATGGTCCACCAAGTTATAGAAGCACTCACTTGGTCCCCACACTTACACTTTCGCGGGAAAACGCTGGAACTTGGAACTTGGAGTGGCAATCAAGGCACAGATATAGCTCGAGCATCCATAGCTATAGCTAGATCCTTTATATCCTGGTGGAGTTTTCTTAGGATAAGAAAAGATACTGTGATGGATAGCGATGCAGCAAGCTTGTTCAATGATCTTCCATCACGAGGCAACTGTTTGGAGATGGGCCTCTGTTTCACGTCATCGTCCGAGGAAGAAAAAACTATTTCGTTAGAGACAGCCTTTGGCAACAGGCATTTACGCTTCTGTGGAAAAGAATGGTCGAAGTGTTTGAAGTGCTCACGCCCACCGTATTGTCTCAAGATCCGTTTGTGAATCAATCCTCCTCCTAAGTCACAAAGGTGTTAGGAAAACTTCCAACTGTTTGCAGCCTTGAGGAAGGCGATTGATCACGCTTTTCGGCAGTACCAGGTAAGAAATGTAAAGCTCACGGAGAATGCGATGTGAAGGAGTGAATGTTGCCTTTGAGAAAACCACGCATGCCTTTTTGACCACCTACAAACACAAGGCGAAGCCATCCTTGGATCAACTTGACGTAGAAGGAAAAGTGTAGCAATTTCATCACACGTTCCAGGACTACAAAAGGACCCTGCGCCGTCGATGAAATTTCCCACTTGGGTAGTTTGTAGCACTGTCACAGAGCTTGTCCACGCTTCCGAATACTAGATGCTCGTCATGCATACTTATGCAAAAATACCATGTTTTGCACAGCTCGCGATGTAATTCCTCCATCAGGTGTGTGAGATCTCTCTGTTTTATCTGTCCAATGCGGGCGATTATTTCATTGAAAGAGTGATAAATCGTTGATGAAAGTGCAACAGAAGAGTTTTACATGTATATATACAAGCAGATAGCCATAAAATATTTGTGAGGTATATGATATATGGTATACATGTAAATACCTGACAAATATTTGAATTTAGAATATTTCTTGAAAGTATGGCAATAAAAATTATTCGTCAAATCATTAAAAATTCTTATAATAACCAAACTTTATAGTTATTAAATTTACAAGAATATAGTGATAATAAATTTTTATTTATAATATTATTTTTCATAAGTATAAGAAATAATCTAAACATTTAAACATATATTTTTATCATTCACTCCTTAGTTTCCAATGATAGAATGAACAATTAAAATTCAAAAACTTTTAGCTATATTATAAGGCTTATTTTCTGAAAAAAACAAATGAAATGTTATTCATGCCTACTTCTACATAATAATATTAAATAAAACTGATCCAGTCTAATAAAATAGCTTGTTATTATATATACATTATATTATACAAAACGTTATATTTTACATAAATGTTTCAAGATATTGAAAAAATAGTTTAATAACAATCATATGTTAAATTTCATCACTTGCTTGTATAAAAATATTTTTAAAATATAATCAAATAATTGAGATTAAACTAGGTATATATTTTATTTGATTGCAATACACTTATTACTCTTAAATTAATTATCAAACTGTAATATACTATATCTAGAGTACATATATATATCTGATTATTCAAATATTTTTAGCATTTTAATATTTTGATATTATGAGTGCATGATGGAATATAGAAATATACATATCAATTAACCCAAAAACCATAACTTGTATATAGGAGCAAATGCTCTAGATTGAAACCAATTCGATAGCTATCAAAACTCTAATACACTAATCTTAGTGTATAGCTGTTAATATTAGTATACGGCATTATAGCTGTACACTCATGCTCTCCTCTCATAAAAATGAAAGTTAATCAAGATCCTTTGGTTGACGGGCCAAGATTTAGAGGAACATTAAGAGGAAGCATTAATGAATTTTTAGGTGGTACCAATTGTTCAAAATCCCTTTGTACAAAGTGTTTCAGCTATTGCATATACAATTGGGGAATTAATCTATTGAACATTATGTTAAACCTCATAAACTTATAGTTTAACTTGTCACAACACTTAATATAGTCCTTTTCACTGAGAAAGGAGCCCTTTAAACAAATCATATATTGTAAGATTGGGGAAATAGACTAAACTTAAGTTATCCACTTTATACTCTATAGGTGGATGGTGATAGACATTATAGCATTGCTGTTGTCCCATTTGTATATGGCCCAAGTGTTCAATAAAATCCATTCAGGAAGAATGCTCATTAAATTCCAGGATCTAGCATCGATAGCTCATGACAATCATGAAAGTAAGCTCAACTCTATTGGCAATATTAAATCATGACTATATAAAAGTTTATATAATGAAGCACTAATAGAACTTTGTACCCCTATGACATACACATATTGAAAAAATAGCAAATAACCATTCCAATCCAAATGCTGAAAGTTTATATATTTTGCGATCATCCCTTTGAAAGTCTAGATAAATTGTTTTTGTCGTGAATGTGATTGCAAGTATCGAAAGTTACTTATTGGATAATCTTTTTAGATATTCTTTCCTTACTGCCATGACGGCAGGAAGTCAGTATTACTAGACCCTTTTTCAATTTCCCCTTAAACTAGTTGAATAACTAATCATCATGTATGCATTTATGTTAGATAAACATAAGGTAAAAACTCCTATATATTTCTTGCTAAGCATATTCGGCCGGTATAAGAAACATATATGTTGGTTTACACTTGCTAGTGTTGGAACCTTGTAATATTGAGTCTAGTCTCTCAATATCATTACGTGATAGTTTATTGTGTTTACCAAACACCCTCGCATCATGCTATTTGCATTAGTCTCATTTTGGTCCCAAATACTATTTATGGAAAGTATTTAAATTTGTTCATTTGGCGTATTTATAGAATGTAAAGATTGTTTTAAACACAGTGGTGTTCGTACTATGTCCAAATTCACAATCTAAGAACATTCCATATTTAGTAGGTTTCAAGTTTGTCCCAGACCCTCGTTTTGTAGAGCAATAGGCTTGGAGTTTAGCTCCAAATTTAGGTGTGTTACATTTGGTATTAGAGGAATTGTCTCAACGATTCCTATCCAACTTTTGTCAGATTTTCTAACTCAAGTTGCATATGCAGAGACTTTTTTAGTAGATCCAAAGCAACTTGTGTAGGATTAATTGGATTGCACCATTCAGTAAGAATGTTGTAAGCATGTTTAATTACTAATAGAGGCATGCATGTAGTTACTAAGATGGTGAAAAGGAATTGTGTTGATGATGCTAAAACCTCTAGAGGGGCGAATCAAAAGGAGGAAACTCCTGTTAGAGATGCTGCAAAAGAGGTTGAGGCTAAGTCAGAAGAGGAACAGTCAGATGTTGCAACACTACAGCATACGGCTCAAGAAGTTGAGATCAAGAATTTGCGAAGGGAAGTTCGCAAATTGAAGAAAGAGAACAAAAAACGGAAGAAAGAAGCTGAGGCAGCTAAACTAGCAAAACCTAAGCAATTGAACTCCTCTTCAAGTTTGAAGACGATATAGTTCTACAACTGGCCCTAGTTGCATGAGTTTCAAAGTTCAAGCCTCCGAAACCACCCAATTTCAGAAGCATGCAAGACTATAAAGTTTTGGAAGATTAGGTCTATGATATGGAAAACTATTTCATAGCAATATAAATGATCTTACGAAAGTTGCATGTGTGCATCCTTTCTTACTGATCATATGAAAACTTGGTGGTGCCAGGTGTGTGCTGAAAAAGGGTAGACTAGAAGTTAGACCAAGATGCAGTCTTGTATCCATAAGGAATACTTACCAGATGATCTTGTTTGAGACTTCTTGGAGAGTTGCGGCGGTTAAAGTAGCGAGGGGACCTTATGCATTATGTTAATGCGTTTGCTTAGAAGCGCATTATGATTGCAAATATGAGTGATAAAGATGCTCAAAGTTATTTCCTAGAAGGTTTGAGTTCACTTTCTCGTAATGAAATTTTGAAGTTTAAGCCGAAAACGTACCTAGAGTGTAAGAAGGTAGCACAACAAATTGTCTTTAGTCACTCACCTATAGAACAATATCAGCAGCCGTATGCTAGTACCTTGGACAAGAATAAGAATTCTAGGAATAAACAAGGTGATCAAAAACAGGGGGTGGAAGGAAGGTTCTGCCTTGGAGGCTCACAAACAATGGTTATCAAAAGTGGTGGTGGTTGTCGACCACCAACAGCTTCTTCTAGTCCTAAGCTTTTTATTCCTTCTTCTGGTGGGTATAAGCAATAGCAACTTATAAAATCTGCTCCTAGTGGAATGGGTATTGTGGGTCATTGCTTCCATTGTGGAGAGTCAAGACATAGGTCCTTAGAATGTCCTAACAAGCATAAGACAAGGTTTCATATTAATGTCATAAGGGAAGACAGTGGTAGTGAAGCTGAAAGGGTTGACGAGTTGGTCAATGCAAACTATGAGGAAGAGGAGGTAAGTTACTTTCGTTGCTTTCCTCAAGTTTTTCTCACAGTCAATGCAAATTTGTTGATGTATTTGGTAGGTTTTGTCTGCGGACACTGAATCTGAGTGATGATTGATATGGGAGCTATACACAATGTGATATCTGAAGTCTTAGTTAAGTTGTTAGGATTGAATGCTGAGCAAATGTTGCCTATACAATTCTGGTTTGCAGAAGGTGGGCAAGTAGCTAGAAAATTTATGAGTGACGTTCTAATAAAAATATCCAAATGGAAAGAAAGAGTGGAAACAAATATATTAAAGGGATTCACTTACTAATGATTTACCATTTTGGCATTTAATATTGCTTTGACAGTTTTCTTTATTTTGTGGGGATGGATCTTAATGATTATTTATGGTTGTTGATGCCTTTGATATTTATTTTATAGTTTCTCCACACCTACCATGATTCTCCCATTCTAGACGGGTATATAGAACATCATTGTGTGACCAAAAAGTTGTGTAGGTCTTTCTATTGGCCGGAAATGTGACATGATATTATTTTGTATATGCATAGCTGTGTTTGGTGTTAAATTTGTAATACTCCCCCTCATATTGCGGAAGGACGATTAGAGTTAATTGTAATTTCTAATCCATTTGAGTTGGTGGTGTTTGATATGGTGGGGCCTTTTCCATGATTGCTATTAGCAATAAGTATGTCATTATTTCTTTTAACTACTTGACTTGTTGGGTGGAATTCAATGCTCTTGCTAGCATGTTCGCAATTGCTATTAGATACTTCTTCCTCAATTTCAATATTCCTGTTTCAAGTGGATTATTTCAGATAATGATCTTACATTTATGGTTGAGGCATTTCACATTTTGATGTCTCAGTTGAGGATATACCACACTTTCACAAGTGTTTATCATCCGTAGTTAAACAGTTTGGTGGAACAGCTCATTTGAATTTTCAAAGGGATGATTGTTAAATATGTAAACTTTTAGTATTTGGATTAGGATAATTATTTGCCATATCTTTGGGATACATATATTAGAGAGGAGTAAAGTTTTGTTGGTGTTTCACTATATAAACTCTTATATAGTCATAATTCAATACTACCAACAAAATTGGGTTTATCTTCATGATTGCTACGAACTACTGATGCTAAATCATGGAATTAGTATTTGATGATCATTCTTCCATTTGTCCGAATAGAGTCTACTAAACACCTAAGCTATGTACAAGTGGGACAACAACAATATTTTAACTCCCATCATCATCCACCTGTGGAGTACAAAATAGATGACTTAGTATTAGCTTATCTTCCAAATCTTACGATACATAGTTTATCTAAGGGGTTCCTTGCTCAATGAAAAAGATTGTATTACGTATTGTGGCAAGTTGGAATATAAATTTATAAGGTTTAATATGACATCCAATAAGCCAATCCTCTAGAAATTATGCATGTGCAATAGATAAGACACTTCATTCAAAGGGATTAGGAACAATTAGCACCACTTACAGATCCATTGATGCCTCACTTTAATGTTTCTTTAAATCCCGGCCCATCCACAAAAGAATCCTAATGGGATATCCAAATGTACAATTACAATGCTGTATATTAATATTAGCATAATGGGATTTTGGTAGCTATTGGATTGGTTTCAATATGAACCACTTGCTCTTGTATATATATTTTATTTTCATATTCCATGTCTATATTCCATGCATTCACAATATTTTATAATAAATATATATTTTTAATTTATTGATTTGGTGGATCTTCATTCATGTCATTCATAAAGAAATCATTACAAAGAAAAAAAAGACCAAGATCTAGATGCTCTCTCATCTTAAACAATTACTTCTATCTAATTAAAAAATTTATGGTTTTTTAATTTCAGCTTAAATTATTTTTGTTACATATGACTAATATATATTTAAAAATATCTTCCTTATATAAATGAAATAATGCTTGTATTTCTAAATAGCATATAGATAGATAAAGGTCATCCACTAACTCCATGCTGGAATGCCACCAAATCACATTAGTACTGTGTGGTAGCAACCATTCTGGTTTTCTCCTTTTCATTTTGAGTGAGGAAGAGCAACAACTTAGCTCCGAGTTTTCCAGAGGGTTATTCAAAGTGATGCACGTTGAAACCTGCTTGCCAGTGGAGAGAACTTCGAGTGTCAAGAAAGAGGCTCTTCAGCTTAATGCCAACTTGCCGAGGTTTTCCTCCTGCAATCCCGAATAACACTCATCGCAGAAAAAAGAAAACAAAGAACGTACCAGCTCGATTATCCAGCTTTTCATGCTCTGCTTTGACGGCAGCTACAATCGTGCTCGCTGCCTTACAGTAATAGGATGACCAGTAACACAACGACCAGTTCTCTGGGATTACTTAGCACGGACGCTCCCAAAGATACCGCTGCTGCACAGAAACAAGTTAAATCCTCGAGAATATGTTTCTTGTGACGAACTTACACAAGCGGCAGGGAATGCTGACGAGCTTTCCAGCGAGGGGCTCAGAAGCGTTGAGAGCCGGATTCACCATCTGGATGTCCGAGATGATCGTCGAGCACTTGACAGCAATCGATGGCAGCGTATCACCATCCACGGCCTTGTAGGCAACTCCACAGGGTCCACAGCCAACGTCCTCGTCGTGGCAAGGAATGCTAAGAACGTCTCCAAACGCTACGTCGGCGAGCTTGATGTTGGTGGCTTCCTGGATACCTTTGACGCTCACGCCACAAACCCTCGCGACCGTGGCTAGATCGACTGCCACCAGAGGCGCTACAGTAGATCCACAGATGGAGCAGCTTCTCAGTGGAGCGGGAGAGTCCTCGCAGGGGATTGCCAAGCTCTGACCCGGGTAGATCACTCCACTCTCCGGTATGCCGTTCGCATAGGAGATCAAGGCCGGTGTCACGTTGCACAGCTTGGCTACATCGAAAACGCTCGAGCTGTTCTTCACGACGATGGTGGTATCACAAAGGTGGCGGCTGCATTTGATCCCCAAGGTTGTCCGCTGCTTGCATGGGATCGTCAAACGCTGGCCGGGCTGGAGATCGTCCAAGTCAGTGGAAGGATTGCTGGCCTGGAGATCGATGAAGCCAACTCGGCATTTTGCTGCGACGTGTCTCCGGCTCTCGTGAAGAATAGTGTAGGAATTCCCGCAAGGCCCACAGCTCGCGGTGGAGTTGCAAGGAATTCGCAGCTTCTGGCCTTGAATCATGGTGGAGTTGGAGCTGAGATGGAGGCCTGGATTCGCCAACGAGAGCTCTTGGATCGAAGTTCCACAGTCCCTGGCAACTTGGTTGAGAGATTCTCCGTTCGTGGTGGCCGTGTACTCGATCCCACAGGCTCCACAGCCAGTGAGGGCGATGGTGGCGTTGTCTGCCTCGCAAGGGATGCGGATGAGCTGCCCAGGGTAGACGTTCTCGAAATCGATGTCCCGGTTTGCCATCTCCAGCTCCGCGAGATCCATCCCGCAAGAGTGGGCGATGTCAAAGAGGATGTCCTGTTCCTTGATCACGTAGGAAGCCCCACAGGTGCCACAGTGCGCCGGATCACTGTTGCGGCAAGGAATTCGTAGCGGCAGGCCCGTGAGATTCGCGGTGGAGTTGATGCCCGGATTGGCGTCGGCCGCGTCGCGTAGCGAGATCTTGCAATATGCCGCGACCGATTCCAGCGTCTCGCCAATGCTGGCGGTGTAGTTCGTGCCGCAAGCTCCACAGGTCGCATTGGCGATCAGCGGCGCCTCAACGATCGGCATCCCGGATGGATCAAGGAGACTGTCGAGACCATCGCGACCTAATATTTCGGGAGCTCTCGTCGTAGTGATCGCAAGAAGAGAAGAACGATCGATTAGCATACCTGATAAGAATGCGGCATGGCCAGAGCCGCTCCAGATGAAGAGCAGTAGTCCTAGCAGCAGCAATGACGAAGAACGCGCGTTTCTTGAATCATCGCCATGGAGAATCTGGAAGAACAGCGAAATATCGTCCATCGATCGCGGCTAGCTGGAGAAGAACCTGTGACGGCGAGAATGCGGCATCGGTGCTGTGGTAGCGCCGAGCCGATCGAGAGATCGCTCGGTCGCTCGATCGAGAGAGAGAGAGAGAGAGAGAGAGAGAGAGAGAGAGAGAGAGAGGAATGGCAAAAACACAAGAACAAACAGTGATCGCGAGCAGTCGGATGGACATTCGGGAAGGAACCAAAAGATTCGTTTTGTTCCGGAATGGGACAGCAGATAAGGCCATCGCCTGGAGATTCCTTCCCGGAATTTTAACGCTTTCTCGCTTCGTGCCACGAGAGAGGAACCACTTTAATTTATTAATGCTCTTTGTTTGGTGAATCTGTTTGGCTAGGTAATGGCGGCTCAAGATGTGTGGAGTCGCCGATTTCCAGGGGACTAGGAGGAGCTCCATCTTCTTCTCCTCCTCCTCTTCCTCCTCTTCCTCCTCGCGATCGCGATGCTTCTTGGCGGCCATCCGAGGCGCCGCGGATAGATCGATCGATCGATCGATCGCGCGCCTCCAAGCTGTTCTTATTGGGAATTTCGCGCAGATGAGAGCGCTGGAGCTAGATTCAAGCTAGAAGCTGCCGCGGCAGCAGCTATTAGGGTAAGGATCCCCCTATGAGGCAAGCATGGGAATTTCTTTCGGCTGTTCTGCCTCGGGGGAGAGGTTAGTCTCCGCGGCTCGCGATGGCGACCTCGAGGAAGCGCAAGCACTGCTCCAATGCAATCCCCGGCTTGCGAAGTACTCCACTTTTGGTGCCAGGAACTCGCCGCTACACTTTGCGGCAATGCAGGGTCACAATGAGGTTCGTTTCTTTCGCCAATTTATATTCTCATGTTGGGTCGGGATTTTGCTCCTTTTCTCTCGATTTAGATCGTAACTTTGCTGCTGGAGCATGGTGTTGATGTCGATACCAGGAAATATTGCGGCCAGGTAGATTTTTTCCTTTGTTTTTTCTTGTATCTAATCTTCATTCCTTTCGATCTTTGTGGTTTTTGATGAATGGAGTAGACCGCATTGATGCAATCATGTCGGCATGGTCACTGGGAGGTTGTCCAGACATTGATTCTCTACAATGCAAACGTAAGTGTTACTTTGCTTCCTCCACTGAATTAAATGGCGTGATTCTTCTCTCGATCTTGCTTGCCAGGTTAACAAAGGGGACTACCTTAACGGGTTGACGGCACTCCATTTTGCCGCACTCAATGGCCATGCACGATGCTTGAGGCTTTTGGTCGCGGACTACGTCCCAAGTGCTCCAAGCTTTTGGGGTCCACGAAGAAATCTGTCCGTGCCAGACCAGGGCCCTGATTGTGTAAGCGAAGAGACGACGTCTTTGAGAAGGTACTGCCTAAAGTTTCTCTTTTTTTTTTTGCCTCGTACTGCTTTAAAACGAATCTCTTGGGTGTGTTGCTAGTTCTCTTTACAAGCTTATCAACAAGACTGCTGACGGAGGAGTAACAGGTCTTCATATGGCTTCCTTGAAGGGGCACGCAGAGTGTGTGCATCTGTTACTGGACTTGGGAGCCGACGTCTCGGCACTTACGTTTCAGTATGATACGACCGTCGACATGATAGGTGAGTCTTTCCTCATTAAAATTTGAGTGTTTAAACTCTTTTGCTTCTCTCAGGTGCGGGAAGCAGTCCTTTGCACTATGCAGCTTGTGGAGGGAGCATACAATGTTGTCAGGTTTGCTATAGCGTGTTTATGTAGCTCACGCGACTTTTGTTTCTGGCAGATGTTGTTAGCGAGAGGTGCTAACCATCTGGCAATAAATTGCAACGGGTACTCAAAGATAAGTTGGATTTGGATAGACGAATACTGATACAGCTTCCGCAGGTGGATTCCACAACAGGTTGCTCAGGTCTGGGGCCGGCATTGGCTAGATGGATTGCTTGCACCGCGCTCGCAATGTCCCGTGCAGCCACTTGGATTGTCCCCGTTCCTGACTTCGCCTCTAATGAGCATCATACAGATTGCAAGGTAAGAAGGTTTCAAACCTCGTTTCCACCTGACAAGTGTCTCTCCAGAGAATGCGGCTTGGGTGACATGAGCATTCTAGCGTCTGGAATGGACTCCTGTGCCGTGTGTCTAGAGAAAATTTGCACAGTTGCTGCAGAAGGTCGGTTGGGTGATTTTACTGAGCAGCCTGACGTATCTTCCCATTTCTTACAGGATGTGGACACGAACTTTGTACAAGATGTGCTCTCTATCTCTGCTCGAACGGCACGAGCATGTCCGATCCAGCGGGAGCTGTTCCGTGTCCGCTATGCCGGCAAGGCATCGTCTCCTTCAGAAAGCTCCCTTCGGCTTCGCCTATCAAAGACCTGACGAGATCGTCGGCACTGGGCCTCTGTACAACGTGCACGGTGGACGAGCCTGAAGCGCTATTTCCATCGGAGTTCTCCTGCAGGGCGGACAAGAGAAGCAGAGTTTTGCCGCTCTCCCCAGTCGGGAGGAGCGTTACGTGCACGGGATTCTCGACTATGAACCTCCCTTGCGGTAAATATGATCCAGCTCTTGCTACTCCAGACCAGGCGGAGGCTCAAGAAACCCGAGATCACCATCCGGAGTGGTCACTAGAGGGAGGATCTCACGAAGAAGCTCAAATTCCAGCTTCAGCTCCAGCGCCAGATCGAGCTACAACTCCTCGCTCCTTGTCCGAGTCGGCTCTGCGATCGAAATCGCCCAAGAGAGGCTGGCTCCAGGATTTTGTAGCGTGGAAGCAAAAGCACAATTGCTCCTCCAAGCCCACCTCGAGCTAGCGCCAAAAATTCAAATTTGAATGGAATATTTCTAGGGTTAAGGTTTGGAGTGACTATAATGAACGCGTAAACGTGTTGGCTAAACACCAAACATTCGTAAGTATATCATTCACTCTGTTTACATATCTATTCGAGCAAAACACAGAGCTTGCAATCACCAGTCTCCACGGGTGTGGTGCTCAGCTGTCAACGAAGTGATTGGGTTTGCCAAGTCTGCCATTCATTGCCAGGACAAGTGCAAGATTCATTGATCCAAGCATCAGCTCAGATTGACCACTCCTCCAAGGCAATTGAAGGGCACTTGGCTGCAGCTGCTTCCATTCTCTTGCACAACATCAAACAGATCCAAAAGATCACCAGATTTCCAGACATCATCCAACACCAGCAAGCACCTCTTCCCTGCAAGCCCCCTCCTCAATGTTTCATTGCTGATCCGACCTTCTGGTCTGATTTGTTTGGCAAGATTGTCTGGCTTTTCTTCCACCTGAAAAGATGCAGCCATAGTAAGGTGTCGAACATTGCTTAACCTGTGATAAGGAACATACCTGACACAACTGATTGAATGTTAGCCACAGAATTGGGCCTTGACTTGGTCGTTGTCACGTATGCGTTTGGCCAAGAGTGTTTTTCCAGCACCTCCTACTCCATGGATTCTGATCCACTTGCTGCTTACAGGGGATCCCAGCAACACAACCCGCTCCAGCGTCTCTTCCATGCCAAAAATGTGGTCATCCAAAGGAACAACATGCTGTTCACCACATTAGATGGTACCTCCTTCTGCTTCTTCAACGTAAGTCTGTGCAGAAGCTCAACCCCAAGATTTCGGGGAAGATCTTCGTAACCACCCGAAAACTTGATGTGCTTGACAGCAGAAGTGCAATTAAAACCAAGATGGACATCCTTTTATCC